CGCGCCTGGCCGGGATCAGGGGGGGACCTCAGGGGCCGCAGGGGGACCCGAGGGGCCATGCCTGGCCGGGACGTGGGGGGACCTGAGGGGCTGCGGGGGGACCCCAGGGGCCGCGCCTGGCTGGGCCGCGGGGGGACCCCAGGGGCCATTTCTGGCGGGGACGCGGGGCTCACTCGGCTCACGCTTTGCCTGTGTTCCAGTGCCCTGAGCTTAACAGTACTTGGTCCCCACACTTCTCCAGGCTGCCTACATAGCTGGTTTCTCCTTGTTCCTCCTGCTTGGCAGAGAACGGAGAGCGATGGTGCCCGGCCTCTGTTGCTTTCCCCACCCTTTGGAGGGTAGAACAGCGGCACGCCCAAGGCTCACACCTGTAATCTTACTCAGAAGGCTGAGATCTCAGGATCTCTGTTCAAAGCCAGCAGGACCAGTTCTTGAGACTCTTATCTACAGTGAACCCGCACAAAAGAAAAGAAAAAGCCAGAAGGGGAGCGGTGGCTCAAGTAGTAGAGTAGTAGCCTTGAGCAAAAGAGCTCATGGATAGTGTGCAGGCCCTGTGTTCAAGTCCTGCTATTGGCAATACATAAGATAGATCAAGATTGATAGCTGATAGAATAAGCAAGCAAGCAAGCCAGCCAGCTCCACAATCAAAGCCATCAGATAGCATTAGAAATGGAGTTAGCTGTTAAAGACCATTTGTGGGCATATGTGCCAATGCCTGTAGCCCGCTATACTCGGTGATAATGGCTTCATTGGCTCTCATTTCAGTAACTGCTTTGAGCTCTAGTTTTGTGCAGCACTAAGATTACAGGACTGTCACACAACCTGGGTACCCAGGGGTTCTTTTGTGAAAAGTCAAAGAACAGGTGCAGAAGGACTCAAAGATAGTGGTTACAGTTACAGTTTGTGGATGATTTAGGGTCTACACTGCTCCTGGGCCAGGCACCCCCTCCCATGCCCTCAGCCTTGTGTGTGAAGTCTTATTCTCCTGAAGTGCAGCAGCAATACACATCGAGGTCTCCCAGAAGTTTATAAAGTAATTTGTAGGACTGTACTGTCAGCCATTCGAAAGTCTTGTAGGTTGCTGTGTAAGCTGTCACTTGGCCCTCCCAACAAGCTTCTGTGTAGTGACAGTAACTTTTTCTATGTTACAGATGAGAACTAACATAGAACTGTCAAAGACTAATCCCAGGATTATACATGACAAAGAGCTAGGAATCAAATCCAGGCAATTTGCTCTGGAGTTAGTGCTTTCGCAACCACACCCACCACCTATGACCTCAGAACATGGTCCTGTGCCTCAAAAACCCACAGCCCAACCACTCAGTGACAAGATCTGGGTCTCAATGTAGCCCATTGGGTTCCTGTTCCTCCTGGAGACCCATGCTTTGTTTTGTCTCTCTCTGGTAGAGCTCACTTTGGCGTGGCTTGCTCTTATGGCCAATGTAACCACTTTAATGATCTGTCTTAGGTGATATCAGATTGAAAACTGTGCAGGGTGTTGTGACAAGATACTGCAGCGATTATGGCATGATTGACGATTTGATCTACTTCTCCAACGATGCTGTGACTAGCAAAGTGCTTCTGAATGTTGGACAAGAAGTTATTGCAGTTGTGGAAGAAAATAAAGTGTCAAATGGACTGAAAGCAATCAGGGTGAGTTAGATCATACAGGAATAGTCTTCACCATGTATCTATACCTTTGCTAGCCTCTGAGACATGCCCTTGTCTAGGGGAGAGAGAGTGCAGTAGACCTGTGAAGGAGGCTTTTGTTCTTTATAATAAAAATAGTCATTTACAAAAAAAGTCATTGCCGGATGCTCACACCTGTACACCTAGCTACTTAGGAGGCTGAGATCTGAGGATCACAGTTCAAAGCCAGCCCCAGCAGGAAAGTCCATGAGACTCTTATCTCCAATAACCACTAGAAAACTGGAAGTGGCGCTGTGGCTCAAGTGGTAGAGCGCTCGCCTTGAGCTGAAGAGCACAGGGACAACGCCCAAGCCCAGAGTTCAAGCCCCACGACGGACCAAAAAAAAAGTCATTTACATCTGTCAAACATTATAGAAACATAATTCAGAAAGTGAAGGTTGCTTATATATGTTTGTCATGGAAAATACTTTTTAGCTGTTCTTTATTCTAGTGTTTTTTCAAAAAATATTAATAATACCTGAATTGTGAAATGGTAACCCTCTGTACAATATCTTAATAACAATAAAACTATATATTTAAAATATTAACAATTATTGAAACTATACCATCTGATTTGCAAAGGCACTTTTTCTTTATCATAAAAAAATAGGGTTTGTTTTTTTGGCCAGTGTTACATTCCTGTAATCCTTGTTACTCAGGAGACCTGGAGGATCACAAGCCAGTCTAGGCAGAAAAGTCTATGAGGCTCCATCTCCAGTTAAGCAGAAAAACACTGGACTGGAGAAATGGCTCAAGTGGTACAGTACCACCTGGTAGTATCACCCTAAAAAGGGCAGGTTTTTTTTTGTAGTATGAACTCTTTAAAGTATAATTGTTAAATCAGTATACAGATTTTTTTTAACAGTTTAATGGTCATTAGATCAACATCCAGTAATAGTGTACTAGTTTACACTCTCAGGAGCAGAATGAGAGAGTGTCTCTTTTCTAGTGTGGGCATGATTATGGCTATTATTGAGTTTGGAAATATCTGCCACCCTAACAAGTAAAAGGTGATCATATTTTTTTTGCTATGAGCTGTCTTTCATCCTTTGTATGTGTCTGTGTGTGGGGTGTGTGTATGTATGCATGCATTAATGCGTGTGCATGCGCACCAGTCCTGGGGCATGAACTCAGAGCCTCACTCAGCTTTTTGACTCACAGCTGGCTCTCTACCACTTCAGCCACACCTCCAGGCCTGACTTTTTTCTGGCTAGTTGGAGATAAGTCTTAGATTTTTGTCTGTCCAGCTGGCTTTGAACTTCAGTCCTCAGATTTCAACCTTCTAACTAGCTAGACTTACAGGCATGAGCCACCAATGCCCAGCAACTTTTTTCTCACTAATGCTTACGTATTGGTAAAATTAGAGTTGTTTTTTTTTGTCGTTGTTGTTGCTGGGTGTTTTTGTTTTTTGTTTTTTGGTGTGTGTATTGGAAGTCCTAGGGCTTGAGTTCAGGGCCTGGACACTGCCAGGAAACTTTTTTTTTTTTTTTGCCAGCCCTGGGCTTGAACTCAGGATCTGGGTGCTGTCTCTGAGCTTTTTCACCTCTAGGCTAATGCACTACATTTGAGCCACAGCTCTACTTCTGGCTTTTTTTTTCTTTTGGTGGTTGATTGGATATGAATCTCATGGGAACTTTTCAGCCTGGGCTGGCTTTGAACCATGATCCTCAGATCTCAGCCTTCTGAGTAGCTAGGATTACAGGTATAAATCATTGTCATCCAGCAACTTACAATTTTTTTTTTTGCGGTTGTGGGGTTTGAACTCAGGGCCTGGGCACTGTCTGAGCTCTTTTGCTCAAGGCTAGCACTCTACCACTTTGAGCCACAACACCACTTCTGGTTTTCTGGTGATACCCAGCTACTTTAATAGTTTTTTGTTTTGTTTTTTGGCCAGTCCTGGGCTTGTACTCAGGGTCCGGGCACTATCCCTGAGCTTCTTTTGCTCAAGGCTAGCACTCTACCACTTGAGCCACAGTGCCACTTCCAGCTTTTTCTGCTTATGTTGTACTGAGGAATCAAACCCAGGGTTTTATGCATGCTAGGCAAATACTCTACCACTAAGCCACATTCCTAGCCCCTATAGTTTTTAAAAATGTAGTTGTATATATGTTATCTTTTCTATGTGGATTTTTTGACAGTACTTAGGATTAGAACTCAGAGCCTCATACTTGATAGCAGGCACTCTACCACTTGAGCTATCTTCCAGCGCATTTTTATGCTGGTTATGTTCATAGTAGGGTCTCAGTTGATGCCTAGGCTAGCCTTGGCTGTTGGCCTTTGACTTGTGCTTCTCCATGTTGCTAGGGATGGCAGGCTTACAGCGCTGTACCCAGTCATAGGTTAAGAAAGGTCTCTCAAACTTTTATGCCTAGGCTGGCTTCAAACCACAGTCCCTTGATATCTGCCTTCCAAGTAACTAGAATTATAGGCTTGAGCCATGTCTGGCTCCACATGTATTTTTAAATTTTAATGTTATTATAAAGATGATATACATGAGTCAGGTTTATGGGTAAATTTCCTTTGTAAATTTCTCCTTTTGTCTTCAGTTACTTCCCTCTCTTCCAGTCCCTCCCTCCTGACTCCACCTACAAGTTGTATAGTTTACTTTCATCTGTGTCCAGTGAGCTCCACTGCTGCACTTTTTTTTTTAACCCTTTTTCCCTTGAGTTGTGTACCTGACTCCACAACCTCCTGAAGATATCCATGTAAATATACCATACATAAAGAAAGACAGAAGCCGGGCACTGGTGGCTCATACCTGTAATCCTAGCTACTCAGGAGGCTGAGATCTGAGGATCGTGGTTCAAAGCCAGCCCAGACAGGAAAGTCTGTGAGACTTTTATTGCCAATTAACCACCAGAAAACTGGAAGTGGCACTGTGGCTCAAGTAGTAAAATGCTAACCTTGAGCTGAAGAGTTGAGAGACAGCACCCAAGCCCAGAGTTCAAGCCCCGTGACCGATCCCCCTCCCCCGAAAAAAGAAAAACAAAATCATCAACAAAATAAAAAAATGATAAAGAGGTCTCTTGTTTCCATATATTAGAGTTCATTTTGATAGATATAGTATATAAATGTAAAGAGGCACAAAGGCATTGCTTCTTTGTGTTTCTCTCCTGAGTCTCTTCTTTTGGTTTCACTGTATATGCGTATCTAGAATCCTGTGTAACTTATCATATCCTGGTGTATTAGATCTAATTTCTACATATCAGAACATGTGTTGATTGACTCTGAGCTTGGCTTAACCCACTCAACATGATTTGTTTTAGTTCTATCCATTTCCCTGTAAATGACATCATTTTATTTTCTAAAGGCTGTATAAAATTCCATTGTATAAAAGTACCACATTTTTTGGATCCACTCATCTATTATGAGGCATCTGGGTTGTTTCCATATCTTGGCTATTGTGAATAGTGTAGAAATGAACACAGATGAGCAGGTGTTTATCATTTCCTGGCTCATGATGATCAGGATAGATGCCCAGGAGTAGTATGGCTGGATCATAGGGAAGGTCTATATTTAGTTTTTTGAGGAACCTCCAGACTCTTGTCCAGAGTGGTCAAACTAATTTACATTCCCATCAACAGTGCAGTAAAGTTCCTTTTCCTCCTCATTTCTGCCATCATTTGTTATTGGGATTCACAATGTTGGCCAATCTAACTAGATGAGATGGAATCTCAGAGTTGTTTTGATTTGCATTTCCTTTTCCATGTGTATTTTGACTCCTTGGACTTGTTCCACTTCTCATTACAAATGCTTATTTTCCTTTGAAAGTTATTTGTTGTTGACATCTAAGTATTTAATCTGTCTGGCATGTACTGTGGTACATAGACTGAGAGTTGGAGCTAGGTATTATGCGTGTGCGTGCATGTGCACGTGTGTGTGTGTGTGTGTGTGCGTGTGCTCATGCATGCGTGTGTGTGCATGTTGGTCCTGGGGCTTGAACTCAGAGCCTGAGTTTTTTGCTCAAGGCTCATGTTCCACCACTTGAGCTACAGCTTCACTTTTGGCTTTCTAGTGGTTAATTGGAAATAGGAGACTCAGGGACTTTCCTGCCTGGGCTGGCTTTGAACTGCAGTCCTCAGAATTCAGCCTCTTGCGTAGCTAGGATTTTAGACAGGAGCCACCAGCATCTGGCTAGACATTTCTTTTCTAATGGTTAGTAAGTTACCCTGCTTAGGAGTCTACTTTGGCAAGTCTCTTTGTATGCATCTGCATTCTTCAGACAGAGCTGTGCTCCTGGTACTGGTCTTATGAGCCCCAGCAGGTGGCCCACTCGTTGTCATACGTGGTAGGCAGGTTTCTTTTTGTTGCCCTTATTTATAAATGGATTGTTCTGGCTGTTCACATGTTATGAATGAATTTTATAATCTTCACTATTATTAAGCTTCTACTCTGACTTGCTTTGGTTGGTACTGGGTTTGTGAATACCACATAGGATTATTGACATTTAGTCATTGTAGAAACTTCTCCAACCATAAAAATTATGTCTATCCACTTACTCAAGGTTTGTTTTTTATTTACAGTTTAGAGGTTTTTCTCATGAGGGCTACACATGCCTTGTTATGGTTTTATTTGCAAGAATTTTTTTGTTCCTTTATGATTATAATTTTATATGGCACTTTGAAATTAATCTTTTTCTTACTACAAAGTAAAGCTATTGATTTCTAATAACATTTGGAAACTGGAAATTATTGAGCTTGTAACTACATTTTTAGTACTTGGGTTTGAACTCAAGGCTTGTTCTTGCTAGGCAGGTGTTCTGCCACTAAACTGCTTTTCTGGCCCTTTATTGTGCTGGTTATTATTTTTTTTTTTTTGGGTCCAGTCATGGGGCCTGAACTCTGGGCCTGGGCGCTGTCCCTCAGCTCTTCAGCTCAAGGCTAGCACTCTACCACTTGAGCCATAGCGCCACTTCCGGCTTTTTTCTTATGTGGTGCTGAGGAATTGAACCCAGGGCCTCAGGCATGCAAGGCAAGCGCTCTACCACTGAGCCATCTTCCCAGCTCCAAGAAGTAGTTTTTTGTTTTTTGTTTTTTTTTTTTTTGGTCGGCCCTGGGGCTTGAACTCTGGGCCTGGGCGCTGTCCCTCAGCTCTTCAGCTCAAGGCGAACGCTCTACCACTTGAGCTATAGCGCCACTTCCTGTGCTGGTTATTTTTGAGATAGGGTCTCCTTTCCTATCCAGGCATGCACCTGGACTTTGATTCACCTATTTTAGGCTTAGCTGGGATGATAGATGCAATCTGCCATGTCCAGCTTTTTCTGTTGAGACTTGGAATCTCAGGAATGTCTCTAGGCTGAGCTGGAACCATGATCCTCCTGATCTGAGCCTCCCACAAAGGTAGGATGACTGATGTGTATCATTACACCCCACTAAGGATTGAGAGAGTCTTGTGAACCTTTCTGCTCAGGTTGTGCTTAAACTAGCCTTGAACTGTGATTTTCCAGTTCTCAACTTCCCAAGTAGTCTAGGACTACAGGAAAGACCTCAGTTTTATCTTTTTTTTTTTTTTTAAGGCTTGAGCTCTATGTGCCTCTGATCACATAAAATAATATATATCAAATGAACTCTAGGAAATGGAATTAGGATTTTTTTCTTGGTTGTTTTTTTTTGTTTGTTCATTTATCTGTCTTTTGGAGTTTAAGGGAAAGCACAGAAATTGAGGGACAAAGGGTGAAAAAATGCAGCATTGGTCCTCACTAGACAATACATTGAAAATAAACTATAAAACTTGAGGGGGGTACTGGATGGAAAAACGGAGTAAGGAAAAGGGTGACCAAAAACAAATGTATTCTTTACCTGCCTTATGTAACTGTAACCCCTCTGTACATAACCTTTATAATAACAATAAAAAGGATTTTTTTTTGGTCAGTCATGGGTCTTGAACTCTGGGCCTAAACACTGTCCCTCAGCTCTTCAGCTCAAGGCTAGTGTTCTACTACTTGAGTCACTGCACCACTTCTGGTTTTCTGAGTGGTTTAGTGGAGATAAGAGTCTCACGGACTTTCCTGCCTGGGCTGGCTTTGAACCTCGATCCTCAGATCTCAGCCTCCTGAGTAATTAGTATTACAGGCATGAGCCACTGGCACCCAGCTTAAAATAAATGATTTTTAAAAGAACACTAATTTGTTCTAAAAAAAATAAGGCTTGAGCTATACTTTGTTGCTGTTATAGTTGGTAAGTGCCATCTGAAGGCTTGTCTGATATTTTTGTTTTTTGTTTTTAGCAATATTGGAGTTTAAACTCAGAGTCTAAACCTTGCTACGCAGGTGATCTACTACTTGAATGATGCCCCAGAGCTGTTTTTTTGGTGTTTTGATACAGGCTCTCACTGTGTAGCATTAGCTAAAGATATTCCTGCCTCAGCTTCCTATGGATTAGGATTATAGATGGGTACCACACCTGTAATTCCAGCACTTGTGAGGCTGAAGCATGAGTATTGTTGAGTGCAAGACCAGCCTGCACTATATACTGAAGCCCTGTGTCAGAATAATAATAATAAGGATCGGGGTATGGCCCAAGTAGTAGAGCATCTTCCTAGTAAGTGTGAGGCATGAGGTCAAACCCCAGTACTACCAACCAAAAATGTAATACATATAAAAATAATTCAGATTCTAAAATTACATTAAATGCATTAACTACCAGCAGGATGTGAAGGTGTGGTTGCTTAAATCTATTAAAACTAAATTTCAATGACTAAAACTAAAAATGCAAAAAGAAAACCCCTAAACTTGGAAATTAGCTCCACAGATTCATGATCAGTTTGCTAATATTTTGTGTGCTAAATGTAGCTAGTAATTGCCAAGTAAGGCAAATACAGGATATTCCTATTGTCTCAGAAAGCCCTGTGCAGCCCTGGCATGGGTGCTGTGCTGTGAAAAGCAGCACATCTCCCTGTGCTACTCACCCACATTTCGCTGTGCTTCAGTCTGGGGCATCCAACTTATTGACGGGTATCTTTCCATTTGTTTGGGTCTATTTTTTCCTTCATCAGTAGTTAATAGTTTTTAGTGTACAAATCTTACATCTCTTTGGTTAAATTGATTCCTAGGTATTCTGTATCTTTTGCTTTTTTGATACACCAGATTTTACATGAAGGTGCTAAAGATTCCATATGCCAAAAGCCTCCAAATCAAAGGCAATAAATGAGTTTGGTTGAGTAGCAGGATACAAAATAAGCATACAAAAACTAGTTTTATTTCTGTGTGCTTCCAGGAAAAAAATCTGGAAAGGAAATTGAGCCTCAAAAAGAACAGAATGAGCCAGATGCCAGTGACTTATACCTGTAATTTTATCTACTCAGGAGACTGAGATTAGATCACAGTTCAAAGCTAGCCTGAGCAGGAAAGTTTCTGAGAATCTTATCTCAACTACCAGAAAGCTGTTAAGTGGAGTTATGGCTCAGATGGTAGAACGCTAGCCTTGAGCACAAAAGCTTAGGGACATTGCCTAGGTCCCAAGTTCAAGCACCAGTACTGGCACAAAGTCTGTGAGATCATTATCTCCAATTAAACAGAAAAATGTTGGATTGGAAGCATGATTCAAGTGATAAGAGCACCCATTAGTCATGAAAGAGAGGTGAGAGCCATGAGGCCCTGGGTTCAAGCCATAGTACTGGCATACTCATATACACATGAACACAGACACACACACGTGCACACACACACATGTAGGCTTGGTATAGTGACATGTATCTATAATCCCAGCACTCAAGAGGGAGAGTATGAAGATAATCATGAGTCTAAGGTGTCTAGCCTGAGCCCCAAGCCATCTATGAACAGATATTAATTTTACTTCTTTTCTAATTTAGATGTCTTCTTTTTTTTTCCTGATTGCTTTCATGTAGACTTCTAGTACAATGTAGAAGTGGTAAGAGTGGGCATCCTTGCTTTGTACCTTAACCTAAGGGAAATGCTTTCTATCAACATTGGGTTGATGTGCATTTGTGGTCTTTTCCTAGTTTATTCCTTTATTCTTAGTTTATTGAGTATTGTAATTGTGAAGGGGTGTTTAACTTTGTCATGCTTTTCCTGCATCAAATGATATGATCAGTGATCATTTTCTTCATCTTATCAATTTATTGACTTGAGTTTCATATATTTTGAACCACTTTTGGCAATCTGGGACAAATCCCACTTGATTACAGTGTCTAGTATATCTTCACATAATTGCCTCACTCTGCTTGCCAATATTTTGTTGATTTTTGCATTGGTATTCATAACAGATTACTAATAGGGCCTGTGTTCCCCAAAATGTATGAGTTGAAATTAATTCCCCAAGGTGATAATACTGGTATGTGAGGTCTCTCTGGGTTTATTGGGCCATGAAGGCAGAGCTCTGATGAATAGGATTCATGCCCATATGAAAGAGACCCCAGAGAGGTCCCTCATCCTTGGAGAGGAAGGATGTGAATCAAAGTAGTTCCTACCCAGACCCCAAATCTGCCACCCTTTGATCTTGGGCTTCCCAGCCCAAATGACTAAGAGGGATATGGGCCTGTAGTTTCCTTTTCTTACTCTTCTTATATAGCGGGTTAAAGAATGATTTGTTTTCTTGCAGGTGGAAGCTGTGTCTGATAAATGGGAAGATGACAGCAAAAACCAGGATCAAGGGCTGACAGACTCCAGCCCCCGTGCGCTGATTGGCTGTGTGACTTCCTTGATGGAAGGCGCTGGCTACATCAATCAGACCACATACTTCTCTCTGGAGAGTGTGTGTGAAGGTAGCCAGATGTTTCTTTTTCACATTTTAAATTAGGGTTTATGTTTTGTGAAGGACGACTTTTGTTGTTGTTGTTGTTGGTCGTGGGGCTTGAACTCGGCCTGAGCGCTGACCCTCAGCTCTTCAGCTCAAGTGAGCGCTTTACCACTTGGGCTACAGCGCACTTCCAGTTTTCTGTTGGTTTATTGGAGATAAGAGTCTCACAGACTTTCCTGCCCGAGTTGGCTTTGAACCATGATCCTCAGATCTCAGTCTCCTGAGTAGCTAGGATTACAGGCGTGAGCTACTGGGGTACCTGGCTGTAAAGGACTTCTTAATGTTTAAGATAGCTATGTATTGATTGAAAGAATCAGGTTGAATGCCTGCCTCTGTAGGTGTTCCTTTGCAATTGGCTCAGAGGTTCACTGTTTAAATTCACATTTTCATTTGTGAATAGTCACTAGGGTCTGAGTAGTTGTCCTGTCCATAAGATTGCTGAGTTATGATCTCATCTGAAAGTAGTACATTAGTCCAAGAGCACTTTTTTTTTTCCAGCCCTGGGCTTGAACTCAGGGCCTGAGCACTGTCCTTGAGCTGTTTTTGCTCAAGGCTAGCACTCTTACCACTTGAGCCACAGTGCCACTTCTGGCTTTTTCTGTTTATGTGGTCCTGAGGAGTTGAACCCAGGGCTTCATGCATGCTAGGCAAGCATCCTATTACTAAGCCACCTTCCCAGCCCTAAGAACACTCCTAAATACTTCACGCATTTTAAAATAGGGCTTGGGATTACCTTATACCTTTCTTTTTCTTTCTTTTTTTTTTTTTTGCCAGTCCTGGGCTTGAACTCTGGGCCTGGGTGCTGTCCATTAGCTATTCAGCTCAAGGCTAGAGTTCTACCACTTGAGCCATAGTTCCACTTCCAGCTTTTTTTTTTTTTTCCTGTTTATGTGGTGCTTGAGGAATGGAACCCCGGGCCTCATGCATGTAAGCCAAGCACTCTACCACTGAGCCAACTTCCCAGCCCTACCTTATACCTTTCTATAAGTGTGTATCTGCTTTTAAACACATTTGTTTTCAGCTGACTTAAAGGTTTTCTTTCTTTGTTTTTTCTTTTTGTCATTCATGGGGCTTGAACTTTGGGCCTGGACGCTATCTTTAGCCTAAGGCTAGCACTCGACCACTTGAGCCACAGTGCCACTTCAGGTTTTCTGGTGGTTTATTGGAGATAAGAGTCTTATGGATTTTGCTGCCTGGCCTGGCTTTGAACCCTGATCCTCAGATCTCAACTTTGTGAATAGCTAGGATTACAGGCATGAGCCACTGGCACCCGGCTTGTTTTTTAATTTTTTAATCATTTTTATAAAGGTGATATACAGATGTACTACAGTTAGATAAGTCAGGAAAATAGTACTTGTTGTTGTTCTTCTTCTTGTAGGCTTGAACTCATGGTCTGGGTGCTGTCCCTGGGCTCTTTTTCTCAAGGATAGCATCCTACCATTTTGAGCCATAGCACCACTTCCAGATTTCTGGTGGTTAATTGGAGATAGGAATAAAGTTTCATGGACTTTTCTGCCTGGGCTGGCTTTGAAGCACGATCCTCAGATCTCAGCTTTCTGTGTAGCTAGGATTACAGTCCACCAACATCCAGCTTAAAGTTTTATTTATATGAATAATGATTTTGTTGATGTCATTCGTAAGGTTAATTAAACAGCTGTTTGCTGTGTTCTTGCTTCCTATGGTGGTGAGTATAGAACTAGACAGTGGAGAAGAAGATCAGAGAGAACTCTTCATCCATGGAAAAAATATGTATAGCGCAGACAGGGAGGGAATGGGAAGCGCTGCTGGGGGAGGTGCTTTCTGAGCTGCTCAGCACTGTGCTACATGTTAAAAGATGAATAGGAGCAGGGTTTCCTGTTGCTTTAAGCATAGTCAGCTGCTATGTGGCCAGGGGAACAGGGATAGTTGGCGTGGCCCTTGATCTTGATTGCTAGACCTGGGATTTTGAAATCTGTCCTATCAAGGAAACACTTAATTCTGCAGAAAGTTGCATGCATTTATGTGGGCCCCTCACACATGAGCAGAAAGGCATTCTCAGGACAGATGGGAGTTGTTCTGAGTTGGAGAAGATAAGAATGTTTCTGACGATACTGACAGGAGGTGTAGACAAGAAGGTTTACCTGGAAGAGTAAAGAAAAGCTCAGACTGAGGGATTTCCTCTTACTGAAAAACTCAACTTAGGCACAGTAGATTGCTCTCAAGGCTATGTTATACTCAGAGATGTGAAAATTGCTGTTAAAATGTATTGACCATATTAAAAGAACATTCATGTGAGAAAAACGCATGAAAACAGGAATCTGAAGCAGATGTCAGAACATTTCTGCGAAGATCTAGGGAATACAGAATTGGCTGCCTGAGGCTTCTTTGGAGGTTTATCCTCTGTGGATGAGTAGCACTGTGTGGCTGAGAGTCACCACAGATAGCCTGAGAGGTCATGGCTTTGCTCATAAAACTTTGATAAGCTAGACCTAAAGGTGAAACAAGGAAGAATTGGTCTGTTTTTAATTTCCTTCCTGAAGAGTCAGAAGATACTTACTTTCTCCCAACATTAACTCACCAAATACTAGCGCCTTACTATGACAGGCACTGCTTCACAGGATTCCCATGTTGATGTCCTGTCCTATGTCCTTATGGATGTAGAGAAAACTCAGGCTGAAGAAGATGCTGTCCTCTATCACCCCATTCCTCCCACACAGGCTGGAGATGGAGACCTGCAAGGCTGCATGACCATTGCTGGAACTGTGCAGACAAAAGTGCACGTCTCAATACTTGCCATGCTGGCCTGGCGGAGCCAGTAAGACTGGCTACAAGCAGCATGCCTGGAAGCTTAGGCTCTGTGAGGGGCTGCCTTGGTGGCCACTGTCTCTCCCTCAATGCCGTCATGGCCCAGCTCATGCCTCCACCCCATCCTGGTACAAACTCAGCACTTCCTAGTACTTCCTCATTGCTGATATTTTTCTGGAAAAAAATCTTTCAGTATCCTAATTTCTTAAAATAATTGCCTGAGTAATTCATCAAAGTTGCATTTGTCCTTTTAATATCTTTATAAACTCAAACAAATTGCCGACTATCTCTTTTTTGTGTGTGCAGGCCCTGGGACTTGAACTCAGTGCTTAGGCGCTCTCTTTGAGCTTTTGTGCTCAAGGCTAGCACTCTACCACTTGAGCCACAGTTCCACTTCTGGCTTTCTTGGTAATTAGTTGGAGATGAAAGTCTGACAAAGGAGCTGCGTGCTGATAGATCATGCTGGAGCTAGAGCTCATCTCAGCAGGCTGAGATCTGAGGATCCTGGTTCAAAGCCACCCAGGGCGGTAAAGTCCTTGAGACTATTATTTGCAGTTAACCACCAAAAATAAACGGAAATGGAGCTGTGGCTCAAACTGATAGAGTGCTAGGCTTGAGTACAAAAGTTCAGGGATAGTACATAGGCACTGAGTTCAAGTCCCATGACCTGTCATAAAAAAGTCTTATGGAAGCTGAGTGCTGGTGGCTCACACCTATAATCCTAGCTATTCAGGAGGCTGAGATCTGAGGATCGCAGTTCAAAGCCAGCCTGTGCAGGAAAGTCCATGAGACTCTCTCCAATAAAAACCACTAGAAAACCGGAAGTAGCACTGTGGCTCAAGCGGTAGAGCACTAGCCTTGAGCTGGAACTGAGAGACAGTGCCCAGGCCCAGATTTCAAGCCCCATGACAGACCAAAAAAAAAAAAAATGTCTTATGGGCTTTCCTGCAAGGGCTGGCTTCAAACCATGAACCTCAGATCTCAGTCTCCTCAGCAGCTAGGATTATTATCATCCATAATCTGGCTCCCAGCTAGACTGACTGATTATTTTTGAACATGTAGGTTTACTCAGTTTCATTGATCCTATTAGAAAATACCAGCCAGGCTCATGTCTGTAATCCTAGCTGCTCAGAAGACTGAAATCTGAGGATCAAGGTTGGAAGCCAGGCTTGAGCAGGAAAGTCCTTATGACACTTATTTCCAGTTCACCACCAAAGAGCCAGTAGTAGAGCTATGGCTCAAGTGGTAGAGCACTAGTTTTGAGCACAAAAGCTCAGGGACAGTGCTTAGGTTTTGAGGTCAAGCCACAAAATCAGCGCATGCACTCACACGCGCGCACACACACACACACACACACACACCAGCTAAATTAAAAGTAGTGGCTTACTTAGCAAGCTTTGAGGCCCTGAGTTTACCAAAGTTCTTCAAAATAATAACATATATATATATATATATATATATATATATATCACTTAAACAAGGAAGTCTGTTGGGTTGCTATTTCTTACAAGGAAGGATACAGGGAGTGTGATGGCAATTGATTGGAATATAGCAATAACATATTCAGAAATGTAACAAATCCTTTCTACATAACTGTTAAAAGCAAAAAATGTTTTTCTTTAAAGTCAGATGCTGGTAACTCAGACTTAAAACCTTAGCTGCTCAGGAGGCTGAGACCCTGAGGATTGTGGTTCAAAGTCAGCTTGGAGAGTAGTTGTGAGACTGTATCTCCAAAATAATGAGAAAAAGCAGGTCTGGAAAGCATGATTCAAGTAGTAGAGCACCAGGTGAGCAAGTAAGCCAATCGAGCATGAGGCTCTGAGTTTAATACTGCCAAAATAAAAAGTAACGGGCTTCATTGAAGGATTTTTCACACAAGTTGTATATTCTCAGGTCCAATCACAGAACATCACATAAACTCTGTATTATGCGTCCAGTACTGGCATCCAGTTTTGTTTTGTTTTGTTTTTATCATTCCTCCATTGCTTTTATGGCTATTTATAATCTCTGTTCTCAATGACTGCAGTGTGTAAAATGTATCAAAAACTAACAATGTTGGCTCAATGTTTATTAAATACTTCCTTCCCAGCCTATTAAATACTTTTGGTTTAGCATTTCTGATCAAAATAGAACCAAAATAGAAAGGGCTAACTTTAAAAAAAAAAAAAAGCTGGACTGCCCAGCAAGCTCAAAACCCAGAGTTCAAATTCCAGTACTACCAAAAAAGAAAAACCATCACAGGATCCCGTGCTGTTTTACAAAGAGCTCTTAGAGGTGTGAGCATTTGGAAGGTTCAGATGGTAAGGGCCCCAAAGAGAGCCAGCAGTGTCTGTTGTCCTGTGACCTTTAGCTTATTATTCCTTTGGTCTTGGGAGTTTTATGGTTCAGTTTATGGTGGAGTCAGGAGAAGGCGATGGCTGTCTGCTACTCATTTCTCTGGCATACCTCTATTAGTTGAGCTGACAGCTCCACCTGTGCCTACACCTGCTGGATCCTGGAAGTTTCCACCAAAGGACTCCAGCTCTTCTCACTTTATCACGGTTGTTGGTTCCTTGGGGGGTGTTTTTTTTCAGGGGTGGTATGTTTTGTGGGGACCTATGGATAATATGCTGAATAGGCGATTGGTGTGGGAGTACCTCTCTCCTGTATGCTACAGATTCTGTCTTAAAACTTTGCTTTTTTAACCAGGATCCATTTAGAAGAGAATTGAGGGTGACAAACTTGTTTCTGACAGAAGTAGAGTGTATTATTAAAATACTCCAGTAGAACAGAAATGCTCTCAGTTTATAACCTCCTCAGCGTGTACTGGATACATGAGTACCACTAAAACCTTTCCTTGGCCATTTCAGGTTTTCAGCCATGCAAAGGAGACTGGGTGGAGGCTCAATACTGGATACGCCCAGGAACGTGGAGCAGCGAGGCTGTCTCAGTGAAGCCACTGAGGTACAAGCGCGTTGACAAGGTAATGTGCTAGTGAATGGCTCCTCACATGCTTCTGCACGCTTGGCTGCAAGCAGTTACTTTCATGGCCCTGATCTTGGAGGTGCTGAGAACTGTACTAGGATAAAGCTCAGTCTTGGCATGTGTCCCTAAGGAGGTATAGGCAACTCAGTATATTCAGATAAGGAAGGTCTAAGTTACAGTGGGTATATTAAAGTATTTTAAGGACCAAACACAGATGACTAGGGTTTGAGGTAATGAGGTGAGAGGGATGTGTGACTGGGCTTCCTTGTAAGCTAGTATGATGAGGGGAGGGGGATGGGAATGAGGAAGTACTGAGTTTGTAACAGGGTGAGGTGGAGGCATGAGCTGACCCATGAGCATTAAGGGAGAGACAGTGGCCACCAAGGCAGCCCCTCACAGAGCCTAAGCTTCCAGTCATGCTGCTTGTACTCAAGTTTACTGGCTCCACCAGGCCAGCATGGCAAGTGTTGAGACATGCACTTTTGTCTGCACAGTTCCAGCAGTGGTCATTCAGCCCTACCCTTGCAGGTCTCCATCTCCAGCCTGTGTGGGAGGAATGGGGTGATAGAGGACAGCATCTTCTTCAGCCTGGACTCCCTGAAGTTGCCTGAGGGGTACACGCCGCGGAGACATGACATTGTCAGCGCTGTGGTGGTGGAGAGCAGCCAGTCCTGCTATGTCTGGAGAGCACTTTGCATGACTCCTGTGAAAAGGTGGTAATGAGAAAGGGTTGCTTTGGGAGGTAAAAGTGGCTGCCTAGCAAGCATGAAGCCCTAGTACTGTACAGCTCCAAAACAAGGTCTGACTTTAGAGTACTTTGAAGAGTCATAGTCAAGTGCTGTGTAGTGCTTCCATTCACAGGCTGTAAATGCTGATCTGTAAGACCATATTGCCTAATAACATTGCAGCCTGCTCAAGTCTGTAAGTGCACTGTGGTGTTCACACAAGACAGAATCACTTAAGGACACATTTCTCAGGACATAGCTCTGTTGTTTGTATATGTGTGGTTGTGTGTGTGTGTGCACATGTGCATGATGGCCCTGGGCTTAAACTCAGGTCCTGCACGTTACTTCTGGGCTTTTTTATTTTTTTTTACTGAAGGTGTTGTTCTACCACTTGAGCCATAGTTCTATTTCTGGCTTTTTTAGGTTAATTGGAGATAAGACTCTCAGACTTTTCTACCCAGACTGGTTTTTGGCCTTGATCCTCAGATCTCATCTTCCTTAGTAGCTAATACTACAGGTGTGAGGCTCTGGTACTCGGCCAAGACTGTATTTTAATAAGCCAGCATACAAGACGTGTCAAGTCCTGTGTTGACTGGTGAAGAAGAACATGCCTTCTAGAGGGTAGCTTCATAGTTAAAGTGAGCTCAATCCTTATTCTTTTTTTTTTTGGTCCTGTTGTGGGGTCTGAACTCTGGGCCTGCGCGCTGTCCCTCAGCTCTACCACTTGAGCCACAGCGCTACTTCCGGTTTTTTTCTTTTTTGCTTATGTGGTGCTGAGGAATCGAACCCAGGGCCTCATGCATGCAAGGCAAGCATTCTACCACTGAGCCACCTTCCCAGCCCAATCCTTATTCTTTTAAAAAATGTTTATCGTTATTTTAATTGTTACTAGAAAGGTGATGTGCAGAGGGCTTACAGTTACATAAGTCAGGTAAAGAGTACATTCCTTTTTGGACATTGTTACCCTTTTCCTCTTTCCCAGTTTTTCTCTCCCGTCCTTACACACAAGTTATGTAGTTCATAGTATCTGCTGAGTACCACTGCTACATTTGTTTCCCATCCATTTCTGTGCCTTTCCCTTACACTTAACCCTTATTCTTTTTTTCTTCTTCTTCTGCCTGTCCTGGTCCTTGAACTTAGGGCCTGGGTACTGTCCCTAAGTTCCTTTTGCTCAAGGCTAGCACTCTACTACTTGAGCTACAGCACCACTGCTGGCTTTTTCTGTGCTTAACTGGAGATAAGAGTCTCCTCTCTGAAGGGGCCCAAAACCTCCTGGGCTTTGAACTGTGATCTTCAGATCTCAGCTCCCTGAGTAGCTAAGATTATAGGCCTGAGCCATTGGTGCCCAGCTAACCCTTATTCTTACAGTAGTGGTTGTCTTAGTGCCTTTCCTGTTGCTGGCACCACAGTAGCACAGACTGGATATGTTGTAAAAGGAAGATTCATATCGCCGTGGCCCAAGGTCAGGGACTGTATTGGTGGTGCTGGCAGTGCAGGCCTGGGGAAGCCTTCCTGACTCCCTCCTTCCTTTCCTCAATTCCCCCTCTCTTGTGTGTGCTCCCACCACTGAGCTATATCCCCAATCTCAGTGATTTATTATTTCACTCACTGTATAGTCTCCTCAGGAGAATACAGATTCTGTGTAGAAAATTATTTGCCTGCTTTTCTGCCCCACATCTGCTACTTGGCTTGGTGTCTAGATGTGGCAGGTCAGACCTATACAACCTTTTGGGCAGGTACAAAAGAGGTGCAGGAAGGTTGGCTGGTCTTGCTGGACTGGAAGTAGTGCTGTATACACACACTGCCTGTAGACACTTGTTTTTGGCCACATGGACCCTTGTTCCCTTCCCCATGGGACACTTTTCCTTCTGGAGCAGAGGAGTGAGACATGTGGCCTTCATGGCCCTTATTGGTCCCAGCACCTCTAGCTCCATCTGCCAAGCCATTGGATGCCAGGAAATAAGGCAGGCTGGCTCACTGATGTGAACCCCATTCATGGGTCTTATGGGCCTCAGACTCACTACACATCTTGTAACTTAGCTCTGACATCTGTCTCCATGGGTCTGGGAAGTGAGGACTCTATGGTGTGGCCAGGGTTCTAACTGCAGGGTCCATACGTGTCATGGCCACGTCAAGAGCACACCTGTACTATACACACGCTGTCCTGGTTCTGCTCAAATTCTTTCTGTGCCATAGCATGGAGAAGTTGCTGGGTTGGGAAACAAGACATTGCCTCTCCATTTCCTCACTAGGATCACAGCCAATGTGTGCTGGGCTTTGCTTATATCCAGGGCCCCTCCTTGCAGTGAGACCCCTCTTGTCTCCGTGTCTAATCAACAGTGTTGACTAATGCACAGTGACAACTCCTAGCCTAAGCATCACCTAAACAGAGCTTGTCTTATGGGAGGGTTGATTAAGTAACCTGAGTACATTGCTGACTCTTCTTCTACCATATTCTGTGGTCTGTCCATTGGCCAGTGTGGAAAGTCTGCACAGGAGGGGAAGGGGAACAGGCTTTCCTGATGAGATCACTGAATTTGTAGGCAGGGCCAGAAGCAGATTTGTTCTAGATGCCCTATTTTCTTTTTTTTCCCCCCTTTTTTCTTTTCCCTCCCTTTTTTTCCTTTTCCCTTCTTTCTTGCCCCCTCCCCTCCTTTCCTGTTGTTTGTTTGTTGTGTTTTTTTTTACACAGTCTTACTATATAGCCCACACTAAGAGCCCTGTTTTCTTAGTGGAGTTGCACACCAGAGAAACATGCAAGGCCAGTGATCTGCTACAAAGAGCACATGTTCAGAGAGGCAGAAACTGTTTTCAGGGAAAGTAGAACCACCTCATTTTCTAAAGGCAAAACTTTGCATTTAATTATTTTTGTACATAGTCAGATGCTAATGATGGTCATATGGACTGAGAAATGTGTTACCAGTCAGGGGCTTCATCGCAGCAGACTTCATAGGGTGCCTTCCCCAGCCCTACATTCCCCATCTTGCCGCACCTAGACCTTAGGCCTATGGCCTGAGCTGCGCAGAACACTGTAGGCAGTTGTCAAAGGCCAGTATTTTCGTATCTAAACAAATACAAACATGAAGATACTAGCCAGTAGTTTTTCAGCTTCATTTTAATCTTATAGGATCACTTGTGTATGCAGTCCATTGTGAAGGCAGTGTTGTTATGCAGCCTATGACTATACTTCAAAGCAAAAAAAAAACAATTGAAACGAAAGTTTAGTGGGCCCTGATATGCAAAGTTCAGTGCTCCCCGCCCCGTTTCCTGGGAGGTGGTAGGAGTGAAGCTTCTGGGAGGCTAGTTCAGAGGGTGCTTCCCGGTCTTCTTGACTGAGGAATTTGTGACATTCTTCTATGAGATGACTACATGTTCTGAGGAACTGTGGGGCTTGTAGAATCCCTGCCTCTAATTAGATGGTATGTCCGTGGGGTTGTCCCGCAGTCTGTCCTTGAGCAACACAGGAGACAGCTGAGGGAAGGGGCACCAGTGCAGCAGCAAGGTGTAATGGCCCATCATCTTTCCTTGGTACTTCCTTCAGAGACTCCAACACTGTTGATGAGGTTCCTGAGGAGGTCTATGGAGCCCTCTTACTGAAAAACAAAGGTGATATTGAAGTTACAAGGATGACAAATTTCGGAACACTGAAGGAAGGAAGAAGTAAAACTATAGTGATCTGGATAGAGTAAGTATGCTTTTGAAGTTTTTGAAAAAGTGGCACCAGTAGCTGTGTGTGTGTGTGTGTGTGTGTGTGTGTGTGTGTGTGTGTGTGTGTGTTAGTGGGGTTTGAACTCAGCACCTCTTGCTTGGTAACAGGCATTCTACCTTTTTTTGGGGGGGGTCCAGTCTGGGCCTGAACTCTGGGCCTGGGCGCTGTCCCTCGGCTCTTCAGCTCAAGGCTAGCACTCTACCACTTGAGCCACAGTGCCACATCTGGCTTTTTTTTTCCTGCTTATGTGGTGCTGAGGAATCGAACCCAGGGCCTCATGCATGCAAGGCAAGCACTCTACCACCGAGCCACCTTCCCAGCCCCTCTAGCAGCCTTTTTTTGTACTGGTTGTTTTTGAGATGGGTCCCATTTTATGCCTGGGCCATCTTAGTCTGTGATCCTGCTTTCTGGGTCCCATGAAGCTGGATGACAGTCTTGTGCCATCAAGCCCAGCTATTGGCTGAGATGTAATCTCAAACTTTTTACCCTAGTGGCATTGAACTACAGTCTTCAGATCTCTGCTTCCCAAGTATCCAGTATTACAGACTTGAACCTTGTGTCCATCTACTAGAAGATTTTAAACTGATTAAGAACTTCTATGACGCCAGGTACCATTGGATCACATCTATAATCCTAGCTACTTAGGAGGCTGAGATCTGAGGGTCTTGGTTCAAAGCCAGCCCTAACAGGAAACTCCCTGAGACTCTTATCTCCAATAAACCACTGGAAAACTGGAAATGGCGCTGTGGCTCAAGCGGTAAAGTACTTGCCTTGAGCTGAAGAGTGCAAGGACAGCGCCCAGGCCCAGAAGTCAATCCCCACGACCAACAACAACAAAAAAGAACTTCTATGAGCCCAGTGCCTGTGGCTTCTTGGTCAATGTCACTTCTAAAATTTTTACTTTCAGCCAGCTGCCAGTTGCTCAAGCCTGTAATCCTAGCTACTCAGAAGATTGAGGTTTGAGAATTGTGATTCAAAGCCAACCTAGGCAGGAAAGTCTGTGAGACTCTTTGTTTCCAATTAACTACCAAAAGCCAGAAGTGGAACTGTGACTCAAGTGGTAAACCACTAACCTTAAGCACAAAAGCTCAGAGAAAATGCCGAGGCTTTGAGTTCATGCGCACAGGTGCGTGTGCGCGCGTGCGTGCACACACACACACACACACAACCTTCTAGGAGGGAAAAACTGGGAGAGAGCAAGGGAAGGGGTAACATTATCTAAAAAGAAATGTTCTCTTTATGTGACTTATGTAACTATAATCCCTCTGTACATCACCTTTAAAATAACAATTAAAAATTTAAAAGACCTTCTATAGAGCCAATCATAGTTTTCTGTTTTTTCCCCTTGAAAAATCTTTAAAAAATTTTAACCCCAAAATATTCTCATAACTGGAATTCACAAAGGTATTCATGAGATTATATTCTGTATTTTACAGTAACTGCTTGTCTCAGCTCTGGAAGCCCTTTGTGTTCATGGCTCCCTTTCTTTTCCCAGGAATAAAGGAGATGTTTCTCAAGACCTTATCAGCTGTAAACTGGCTGGCTGGGATAGAGCTCAACAATTCAGATTTCGGGCACTGGACAAAAGTCAAGCCTGCTCAGAAACATCTTTTGCTTCAGTTCTTGAGAAGAAGCATTTTCCAGACAAAAATGTTAATTCATTAGAAAGCAATAGGAAAAACAAGCCTGAGGAACGTATGGACAGCAACTGGGTGAACAAATCATCAGTCTCTCCAGGTGAGATGCTTCAGCTGATAGACATAAGGGCCAGGGTTGAGGCCATGTGACTATAAGCCAGCACGTCTCTGCTGCAAGCCCTGACAGGTCTTTGTGCCTGACCTCTTTGGGTTTGGATCCTCTGCTCCTAAAGGTTGGGGTTAGGGAGAGCGACAACAAAAAGTAGCTTGACCAACACAAATATGCACTGGAGGTGGTAGTCCCTGAACCAGGGAGACTGCTGGGGTAGCTAGACCCCACCCTTCTAACTGCTTTCCCTGGTTGTTTAACCACATTCATTTCTAGCATTGTCAGGAGTAATGTACCTTTTGGTCTAACTTTGGATTTAAATTTTGTTTTTCCTAGACGATTGTGCCTGTGAAGTAAAAAGTGAAGAAAAAGAAAACACTTGGGTAAAGAAGCAGAAGCCACAGCCCGGAGGGCTTATCCTGCCAGGGGAGAAGACCTCCATTATGGTCACATGTGATGCCAAGTAGGAGCTGGAGTTTGGGAGAGCTTCCTTTACAGCTTATCTGTGGTGCTTCTTAGGTTGTGTTATGAAAGCATCCATGATGTGATGCATCTAAATCATAAGGGAAAACATTATTTCAGAAAATGGCCACTAAGGGGTGGGATGCTGGGTCTTGACTTCCGTCCTCAGATGATGCTCTTAACAGTGTCCATGACTCATTCACGTGTTTTGAGTCCTGACATTGGTAGTTATATCAGGTTCTGCAGTGTGTCCTGATGTCCCAGCCTTCTGCTAAGCTGTACTTCTCTCTACCCCTGGAATCTAAGCTTTATCTTTTTTTTTTAATTGCAGCTCAAACTAGAGCTTTCCAGATGTTGGGCAAGGGCACCGGTGGCTCACGCCTGTAATCCTAGCTACTCAGGAGGCTGAGATCTGAGGATCAGATGATGGGCAAGCACTCTACCACTTAGTTTCCCTTAGGCCAGCACAGTGGGATGAGCCCTGAGGCTAGAGGAGGGAACAGAGAAAATGCCAGACTTGAGCTTCTGTTTTCCTAAGTGGCTCAGCCACCGGCTCCCCAAGTCTATCATTGGTTGCTCTGTTCACTTGGTCACCTCCCAGCTGGACATTTGGTTCCTAGGCCTCCTTACCACCCATCAGTCTTCCAGTTTTCTAATCCTAGATCTTTTTGGAGATACAAACTTGATTAAATCACCACTTTGCCTCAAGCCCATTAAGATCAAATTGTAGATGACCATTAGGCATATGACATTTCTTCAGTCAGCCATGTGAAATGTGGCCTGCTCAAATGGGTTTTTATTGTGATAATGGGTAGGCAAGAAGGCATAAGTAAAGGATAGTGTACACACATACTTGGAGCTAGAGCCACAGCTGAGAAAGGGCAAGTAGGTGGTGCCATTTTTTAATCACATAATAGTTTTGGCTTAAACTTGAGAATACTGAAAATATTTTTCCTATTTGAGGATTACTAAAAGGTCTATTTTAGGTGCTTGATTTATTTTGAGAAAATATTACACTATTTTAGAAAGTAAAACAAAAATTTAGAGCTGAACACAGGCCCTAGGTCCTGTCCCTGAGCTTCTAATTTTATTTTTTAAATTATTATTGTTATTATTTTTTGCCAGTCCTGGGGCTTGAACTCAGGGCCTAGGCACTGTCCCTGGGCTTCTTTTCCTCAAGGCTAGCACTCTACGACTTGAGCCACAGCTCCACTTCTGGCTTTTTTTTTTTTTTTTTTTGGGGGGGGGGGTCCGGTCGTGGGGCCTGAACTCTGGGCCTGGGCACTATCCCTCAGCTCTTCAGCTCAAGGCTAGCACTCTACCACTTGAGCCACAGTGCCACATCTGGCTTTTTTTTTCCTGCTTATGTGGTGCTGAGGAATCGAACCCAGGGCCTCAGGCATGCAAGGCAAGCGCTCTACCACTGAGCCACCTTCCCAGCCCACTTCTGGCTTTTTCTGTTTATGTGGTACTGAGGAATTGATCCCAGGGTTTCATGCATGCTAGGCAAGCACTCTACCACTAAGCCACATTCCTATCCCCTCTAATTTTATTTTTTATAACGTAACTGGTATGCCTTTGTGGCACATCAGTCCCTGACTGATTATGTATGTATGCATGCTTGTGGTCTGAGGTTTGAACTCAGGACCTGGGCACTGTCCTTTAGCTTTTTCATTTAAGGCTAGTGCTCTATCACTTGAGCCCTAGCTCCACTTCTGGCCTTTTTTTTTTTTTTTGTAGTTAATTGGAACATCCATGGACTTTCCTGCACAGGCTGGCTTTGAACTGAGAGCCTCAGATCTCAGCCTCCTGAGCAGCTAGGATTACAGGCGTGAGCCACCACCTGAAAGTAATTTGTTGTTGTTGTTGTTGTTCAGTCATGAGGCTTGAATCCAGGCCTGGGCGGTGTCCCTATGCTCTTCAGCTCAAGGCAAGCATTCTACCATTTGAGCTACTTCACTACTTCCTGTTTTCTAGTGGTATATTGGAGAAGAGTCTCACGGACTTTCCTGCTTGGGCTCGCTTTGAACCATGATCTCAGATGTCAGCCTCTTGAGTAGCTAGGATTACAGGCATGAGCCATTGGCGCCCAGCAAGTAAAATTTTAAAAACAAAACAGGCAGTATGGCATGCACTTTTGTAATTCAACTACTTGGAAAGCAGAATAGGGGAAATATCATTTCAAGGCCAGCTTGGCAAAAAAGTTAAAAAAAATTCTCATCTCTACAAAAAAGTTGAGCATAATAACATGTGCTGTATCCCAGCTCAAATAGAAGAATCCTGAAGTAGGCCAACCTGGTTAAGAATAATGAGAAAAACCGGGGGGGGGGAGGGGAGTATGGGGTAGGGGTTGGAGATACAGCTCAGGTGGTGGTAGAATGCCTGCCAAGGCAAGCAGGAAAAGAAAATCTCAGCATGGCTATTGTGTTATAACTGTCATGTCCCTTTAAGGAGATGTAATCATAACTTCCATATAGGAAATCACACTGACTGTTATAACTAAAACTGAATTTCATTTTGCTTTTTCAAGAAGCCCTGGCCGATGCAAGGAACTCCTTCTGCTCTGTTTTTCCCATTTTCTCATCGGGCGATACCTTGAAGTGAACGTTGTGAGTGGGGAGGAGGCACTTATAGCTGTGCGTGAACCATTTTCATGGAAAAAGCCCAAAACTCCCCAGACATTGCCATCTACAAAAACTACAGTTGTTGTGACAACCCAGAAAAGGTAATGTTTGGAAATAGAACTGCAAAGTTCCCCTCAAATAACTGATAAAAGCCATTTTTTAAATATATAAAAAGGTAATGTAGCTTAAGAGTATAGGTTTGGTCAGGACCCATCTGAAAGCTCTTTATGTTCTGGAAAAGCAGATATGTATCCTGGCAGACAGCAGTTACAACCCTGTCTGGGTCAGTAGTTTAAGTGAGACTGGTGTTTGGGCCTTTTCTAATTGCTGTATTTGGGGATAGGGTACAAATTTTATTTTATTTTATTTTTGTCTGTACTGTGATTGAATTCAGGGTCTTGTGCTTGCTAGGCCAATGCTCTTTTGCTGATCCATACTCCCAACCCTATTTACTTTAGTTATTTTTCATATAGGTCTTGTTTTATGCCAAGCCTGGACTAGACCATGATCTTCCTATGTATACTTCCCCTTCATAGGTGTGGTGACAAGCATGTGCTTCTGTGCCCAGCTTTTATTGGCTGGGATGAGGTTCATAAGAACCTTTTATCTAAGCCAAGAGGCTTGAGTCTCTGCTTCCCAAGTAGCTAGGATTATGGGCATGCTGCCGCTGCTGTTGTGTTAGGACTGAGAGCAAGTGCCTGTGCACCCCTAGGCTTGCTCCTCCCTCAGGGGCCTCAGGGCACTTTTGTGACAGGATAGATTTCCTCAGCTCTATCCATCCTCGCCTTTCTCCTAGGCCAAGCAGATTTTTCTTTCGTTTGGTAACAAAAAAACTCTGCTCAGTAGATATGTGAGGTATTTGATGACTTTGTTTCATGTAGTGAGCACACTTGTCATTTGTTGCCACTAAAGATTTGAACTCAGGTGCTGCCCAGACCCATGATCGCAAAACACCACTTCTCTAATACTAGAAAATGCCACAGATCACGTTGCACCAGTAAAGTCTTAAAATAAGAGATAATGGCCAGTTACCAGTGGCTGATGCCTATAATCCTAGCTACTCAGGAGGCTGATCTGAAGATTACAGTTCAAAGCCAATCCACACAAGCCAGAAGTTGAGGTATGGCTTAAGTGGTAGAGGTCCAGCCTTGAGCAAAAAGTAAGGGACAGTGCCCAGGCCCTGAGTTCAAGCCCCAGGACTGGCAAAAAAAAAAAAAGGAAGGGCCTGCCTTTCTTCACATGATTTGGGCTGGCAGACTTCATTCTGACCTCCTATCTTTAGCTTCTTCTTTCTCCTTCATTTCTGTAGCTTTATTAGATTTGACAGTGACATTGTTCTTTGACATGATAAAAAAAAAAGTTTCCATGAGTTTGAATGGATCCTGATTTAGGGGAAGATAGGAGCTTGAGGGTGAACCCCAATTTCCCCAGAGAAATGATCACAGCCAAGAAACAACACTCAAAGGCAGGGCCTGTACAGTCCAACTTTCAGTGATGTACGGGTGTTGTTTCTAATTACTGCTCTTTACAGTGGTAAGAGTTCGGCTTATTAGAAGGTTAAAGACGACACTCGTCAAATTCCCTGATAGAGTATTTTAGATTTTGCAAGAAAACGACACAGACATCCAGGTATAGAGAACAAAGAAAGGTTTATTGCTGGGAAAGGGGCAGCAAGACCCCTTCTCATAAGAGAGAAGTGAGAAGAAGCGCCAGCTATTGTGTGAGGTGACCTATATAACCTAGGAGGTCTAGGAGGGGCTCGAAAGGACTAGGGGGTGAAGACCCTGGTGTGGATGTGAGAACCAGGGGCTTCATCATGGCGGACTAAGATTTATGGCTGTTGCCCAAGTAGTAGATAAGGGGCCTTGCAGCTGCCCAGACCTGTAGGTCACTCTCAGGGGCTCTTGCTGCCTTATGTTGGTAGCTGCCCCAGAGGAGTGCCATCCCAAGGTAAAGAAGGGGGGGGCAGTTGGAGGCTGATTATTTACTACCTTTATTAAATGGGCCTAATGTTGCCTAGGAAGGGAGCATGCTAAGCTGTGGAGAGGGGAAGGAGCATACTAAACTATGGGAAGGGAGCTCATTTTAACCAACAAGCAGATACATTGGCTCATACAGTAATCTCAGCTACTAGGGAGGTGTAGGTAGGAGGATTGCGGTGAGGTTATTAACCCAAGGAAAGAGGTATAAGAGCCTATTGTACTAAAACAAAAAAGGACTGTGGGCAGTGTAAAAGTGATAGAGCAATTCTCTACCAAGCTGAATGAGGCTCCCTTACCATAGAAAAACAGAACAAAAACTACAGAATCTGAAACACTTCTTAGACCACACATTTCAGAGAAGGGATACTCAATATATGCATTGTAGAGATGTTTTTTTTTTTGTCGGTCGTGGGGCTTGAACTCTGGGCCTGGGCGCTGTCCTTCAGCTCAAGGCGAGCGCTCTACCACTACAGCGCCACTTCCAGTTTTCTGGTGGTTTATTGGAGATAGGAGTCTCACGGTCTCTCCTGCCTGGGCTGGCTTTGAACCGCGATCCTCAGATCTCAGCCTCCTGAGTAGCTAGGATTACAGGCGTGAGCCACCAGCGCCCAGCTGTATTGAGATTATTAAGAATTGGTTTTGCTGGTTGCAGGTGGCTCATGCCCGTAATCCTAGCTACTCAGGAGGCTGAGACCTGAGGATCACAGTTCAAAGCCAGCCAGGGCAAGAAAAGTCTGTGTGTGACTCTTACCTCCAATTAACACCAGAAAACCAGGAGTGGCACTGTGGCTCAAGTGGTAGAGCACTTGCCTTGAGTTGAAGAGCTGAGGGACAGCACCCAGGCCCAGAGTTCAAGCCCCAGCACCAACCAAAAAAAAAAGCAATTGATTTTAACTTGTGAATTTATCCCTTTTAAGGAACTCAAGACGACAACTTCCAAGTTTCCTTCCACAATATCCAATACCAGATAGATTGAAAAAATGTGTGGAACAGAAAATTGACATCCTGACTTTTCAACCATTACTTGCAGAGGTAGGAAAAGTATCTGAAGGCCTATGGGATGTTTACCCAACCACCACTCAAGCCATTTTCTGAAGAACTGGAAGGAGCTTTTCTTGGATTCAGACCTCATGTTGGCTCCCTCTTCGTGACAGCAAGAGAGGCACCTTGGCTTTTCCTATGGTATTCGCACTGTACAGCAAGAGGGGTGAGAGTGGAGACTAATGCCACACCCACACCTCCTTCTGTTATGCTGGGTGGCATTGTGAGGAGCAGGAAGCTTTCCACAGGCAACAGAACCCCAGTAAACTAGAGCAGATAGGATAGGCTCCGAGAAGAGTTGAGAAAATTGGCATCTCAGTGAAAGACAGCAAGAACTGCCTGGTGTAAAGTGCAGGCCACCCCTCCTGAAGTCAGCAGCCAGGTAGTAGCTGTGAAGTAGGAGATCCTGTAGCTTTGTGTCCAGCAGGCAGCTTGATGGCACAACACTGCATGAACATTGCTTCCTGTCTGGTAGTGTCTTTAATGGAACTTTCCATGAATGTAGGGAAGCAGGCAAGGAGAGCACTGGGTACCACCTGCAGGGAAAGCAAGGGGGTATATCTTTGAGAGGCTGCAGAAAAGTCTAGAAAGGACAAAAGTTTTCAGTGTAGCACTGGGTGGGAAGCACTGCCCTGTCCTAAGAGATACCTGGTGTAGGGTTTTGAAGAGCAGAGGAGTGGTTCTGAGGGGTGGTGAATCGTCTGTGTGATTCGCAAGCAGAGGCTGGGCCAGCTGGAGGGGGGTTGGGTCACCACACAGCTATTGCACAGTAGTCGTAGAGTGATTGATGAGCTGAGGGTGGGAGCTAGTCAGGAGACATGGCAGCCTAAACAGGTGAAAGAGCCAGGGCATGCACCATAGACAGAGTGGAAGAGGATGCACAATCCTCTGGCCAGGTTCTGGGCCCTCAGGGCTCCAGACTGTTCACACTGCCTGTGAGGTAGGTCTAGAGTTAACTGTTTGGAGTTCTGATTGACATACAATAAAGTGCATGAGATAGTTTAAATAAAATGTGAAATGTCCCCTGCAGGCTTATGTGGGGAAGACTTGGTCCCCCGCTGGTGGCACTATTTTGGAAGATAGTGGACACTTCAGAGGTAGGGCCTAGTTGGAGGAAACTTTAGTAGCAACATGGTATGTTCTCAGTCCCTTACTGTCTGTGCTTCCTGACCACCAAGGCTTGAGCAGCTTTGCTCTATGACGTCCTTCTACCATGATTTTCTGCTTCACCACAGGCTCACAGCTTTGGAGGAAGCCATGGACTGAAAGCTCAGAACCAAAATAAATCTTTTAAGTTGTTCTTCTCAGATGATTTGGTATAGAAGTGAAAAAGGCACATTCGGGTAACCCTGGCTGTTCAAATAGGAATCTCAAATCCAACACAATACCATAAAGGAAAGAAGTTCAAAGGTTACTGCAGTTCCTGGCAGGGAGGGAATCGGGGCAGTCCTTTGTCCCAGGCCAGGCCAAGCAGGAATGAGGGTCAGGCAGAGGCAAGCTGTGCATAAAAGGAAAGAGGATGAGGATCATGTAAGACCCTGACATGAGAGTCTGGTAGGGGGAGGGAAGCTTTAGTCCTTATTCTCAGTCATGAGTTTCCCAGTCTGGTTATAGCATTTGCTCCCAAGGGCCAGTACGGCCTCGTTCCCACCACACACGCAGACACTCTCTCTCTCTCCCCCTCTCCCTCCATCTCTCCCCTCCCCTCTATATACGTAGATGTATGTCTACACGTGCATATGTATTTTATACATACATGTATTATGTCTATGCATTTATGTATGTATGTGTACATGTATGCAGATATATGTGTGTATGTATACATAGTCACAACTTGGGATGTGTATATGTCTGTGTTTAAATTGGATTTAATTTCCTAGACTTCTGCTTGGGTTTTTGCACCTGTGTTAGGGGTGCTGATCTTCAGTCTGCTTTCCTCATAGTGGCTTTGTCACATGTCTACACATTATTGTATGACCCTATGGGACCACTTATTTCCTAGAAAAGGGTGTATAGGACTGCTGTTTACCAGCAAAACCTCTGTATGGAGTTTTCTTCTTTGTGGCAAGTTTTGGGGGTTTTTTGTTTTTGTTTTTTGGTGGTCATTGTTGTTAATGTTTGATTTGGTTGGATATTTTTTTAGGTTCTGGGGTTTGAACTCAGAGCCTCGTGTTTGCAAGGCAGGTACTTGAGCTGGTTTCTTTTATGTGTGTGTGTGTGTGTGTGTGTGTGTGTGTGTGTGTGTGTGTATGTGTGTGTACATTAATTCTGGGACTTGCACTCCACTCCTTGAGTTATAGCTGCTTTTTTCACTCACGGCTGGCACTCTACCAACTTAAGAGAGCCACACTGCTGCTTACTGCTGGTTAATAGGGAATTAGTATCTCTCTAATTTGTCTGCCTGAATTGGCTTCGAACCACAGTTTTTAGATCTCAGCCTCCTGAATAGATTCAGCGTCTCACCAACTGACCTTTTCTTCCTCTCCCTCTTTCTCTTTCTCTTTTTTTCTCTGTCCGTCTCTCTCTCCATCTCTCTCTTTCTCTTTCTCTCTCTCTCCATCTCTCTCTCTCTCTTTCTCTCTCTCTTTCTCTCTCTCTTTGTACTTGTACTCAAGACCAAGGCACACTTTCCTTTAGCTTTTTCACTCAAGTATGATGCTCTACCACTTGAGCCACCCCTCCCCTGATTAATTGGAGATAAATCTCAGTCTTTCTTGCTGGCTTCGAACTGTGATCCTCAGATCTGTTTTCCTAGTAACTAGGCATAAACAAGCAATGCGTGGCAATGCCTAGCAGTTAAGGCATTTTTTTTCTTTTTTTTCAATTGTAGAGATACTGTGCAGACGGATTACAGTTACATGAGTAAGGTAATGGGTACATTTCCTATAAAGCATTGTTACCCCCTCCTTTGTTTTTCCCCTACCATTCCTTCCCTCCCCTCATTATAAATTTCATTTGCAACATGGTATCTTGTATATCTCATTGTTACAATGGATCAAGCTGTAGCCTTGTTTCAGCATTTTGTTATTTCCCTTCCCCTCCTCAAATCAGAAAATTGTATATACAAGACACAGGATACCCAATAGCATTCAATGACAACAGGGGTTATACCATGGAGGAAGAACATACAAAAGAAACAAAAAAAATCACATAGTACATTATAAGTACATTAAAAACAATAGCAACAAAGGTAGAACCTCTCTTGTCCCTATCTTAGGGTTCATTTCACTTAGCATCATCTTATATGATTATATGTACATAGCTTTTGACCTTTTCTGCTTGTCTGGTAAGGTTATCCTAGACTTATACTAGTTATTGCAAATCAGGGAAACCATGGGACCTATGTTTCTTTGGGTCTGGTTTACTTTATTTAATATAATTTTTTCCAAGTCTTCCATTTCCTAACAAATGTGGCAGTGTCATTCTTTCTGTCAGTCATCTTTCTTTTTTTTTTTTTTTCCTGTCAGTCGTGGGGCCTGAACTCTGGGCCTCAGCTCTTCAGCTCAAGGCTAGCACTCTACCACTTGAGCCACAGCACCACTTCCGGCTTTTTCTGCTTATGTGGTGCTGAGGAATCGAACCCAGGGCCTCAGGCATGCAAGGCAAGCGCTCTACCACTGAGCCACCTTCCCAGCCCCTATAGTTTTTAGTAAACTTTGAAATCATGAAGTATAAGTCTTCTATATTTGTTCTTATTTTGCATAGGTTGGTTTTTTTTGGTTGTTAAATATTGCTTGGGATTCCATGTGGATTTTAATATGGGGTTTTCTACTTTGTAAAGAATGTCATTGGAATTTTGATAAATTACATTAACAATGTTGATCACTTTGGTCAATGTGACGTTTTATTTTACTTTATTTTTTATTGTTATTTTTTTGGGTCCGGTCGTGGGGCCTGAACTCTGGGCCTGGGCGCTGTCCCTCAGCTCTTCAGCTCAAGGCTAGCACTCTACCACTTGAGCCACAGCACCACTTCTGGCTTTTTTCTTTTTTCTTATGTGGTGCTGAGGAATCGAACCCAGGGCCTCAGGCATGCAAGGCAAGCTCTACCACTGAGCCGTCTTCCCAGCCCTCAATGTGACATTTTAATATAAAGCATTCTAATCCATGAATGTGACATATGTGTTCCCATTTGCTTATTTAATTTTTTCCAGCAATGTGTTACAGTTTTTGCTATACATTTCAGTCACTTCTCTGGTTAAATTCCTTAGCATTTTATTATTTTTAATGTTGCTATATATAGAACTGTCTGGGTAGTTTCCTCTTAAGATTGTTCATTATTAATGTTTAGAAATGTAGTTGAGAGCTGCTCTGGCTTATGCCTGTAATCCAAGCATTTCAGTAGGCTGAGAACTGAGGAGGACCATAATTCAAAACCAGCCTGGGTAGGAAGGTCTATGAGACTCTTTTATCTCCATTTAACACCAGAAAAAATCAGAAGTGGCACTGTGGCTCAAAGTGGTAAAACACTATCCTTGAGCATAAACTTAGGGATACAGCACCCAGGTTCTGAATTCAAGACCCATGACCAATTAAAAAAAGAAGGAAATGCAGTAGGACACTGGTCGCTTACATTGTAATCCTAGCTACTCGGGAGGCAGAAATATGAGAATTACAGTTTGAAGTCAGCCCAGGCAGGAAAGTCCATGAAACTCTTACCTTAATTAACCACCCAAAAATTGAAAGTAAAGCTGTAGCTCAAGTGGTAGAGAAGAACTCAGGGTCAATGCCTGGATCCTGAGCAAGCCCCAGGACCAGCACCAAAAGAAAGAAAAAAAGAAATACAACTGGTGTGTGTGTGCATGTGTTACTAGTTTATTGGGGGTGTTGCTGTTGTTGTTTTTAGCAGTGGCAGTACTGGGGTTTGAACTCAGAGCCATATTGCGCTTGCTAGGCAGATGTTAAGCCATTTGAGCCATAACTCTGTAACTGATTTTTGTGTTTGACTTTATATCCTGCTGCTTTTATGTGTTCACATATTAGTTCTAACAATTTAGAACTAACCTTAATCTGAACTTAGTCTTTAAGAAGTCTTTTTGATATGCTGCTGTCTGTGTTCAGTTTGCTGACTAAGGATGAATTCATGGCCTTACCACTTAAGCCATTCCTCTAGTCCATTTCCTTTTAACTGCTCTTCAGATAGTCTGTACTTTTACCCAAACTGGGCTCAGACTTCTAGTCTACCTATGCCTCTTGAGTAACTGAGATTAGAGATGTATACCACCATGCATGGCCTGTTTTAGAGATAGGGTCTCCATAGCCTTGTTTTCAGGACTAGAGGTTGAACTCAGGGCCTTGTGTTTGAGTAACACCTCCAGCCTAAAGTCTTGATCACTTTTGCTTGGGCTGGTCTCTAACTGCGATCACTGTTTTTGCCTCCTGAATAGATGGATCATAGCCATATACCACCACACCTAGCTTTGTTAACAATTTTTGCTTCATTTTTCTTCCTCCCCTCCCTTCCTGCCTCCCTCACCCTCTTTCTGCCTGCCTGTCTTGCCCTCTCCTCTCCTTTCCCCTCTCCTCCCCTGCTTGCCCCTCTCCTCCCCTCCTTTACTCTCACCTTTCCCTTTCTTCCTCCTTTCCCTTCATTTCCTTTTCCCCTTCTGTTCCCCCTTACCTTTACTTTCCCTTTCTCCTTCCCTTTCCCTTTCCTTAACTAGGTCTTGCTAAAGTTGCCCAGATTCACCTCAAACTCATGGGCTCAAGTGATCCTCCTGCTTCAGCCTCCTTTTCTTTCCTTTCTTCCCTCCCTCCCTCCTTTCCCCCTCCTACCCTCTCTCTTGGTAGTAGTGGTGGTTTGATTTTAAGACAGGGTCTCACTGCGTAGCTAGTCTGGCCTTGAACTTGCCATTGCATGCATGCTGGAATTATAAATGTGTGCTGTCATACTCAGATTTCCTTCCTTCCTTCCTTCCTTCCTTCCTTCCTTCCTTCTCTTTCCCTACTTCTCCCTCCTTCTCTTTCCCTGCTCCTCTCCCTCTTTCCTTCCCTCTCCCTTTCCTTTTTTCTCTCTCTCCCTCTACCTTTCCCTGTTCCCCTCTTCCTTTCCCCTTCTCTCCCTGGTTTTGGGCTTAAACACAGGTCCTTGCACTCCAATTTTTTTGCTCACACCCAAATTTACTTTCCATGCAATATGGTTTTCTGGCTTTGGTAGCAATGTTAGAAGCAGTCTCTTAATTTTTGGAAGAGTCTGAAGATTGATGTCAGTTCTTTAAATATTTGGCAGAATTTACCCACGAATTTATCAAGACAAGATTTTTTTAAACATTTTTTTATTATTTAAGTAGTTGTACAAAGAAGCTCCCATTCTACAAAACATTGTCACCCATTGCCAAGACAGGAGATATTTTTTACTATTCAGTCTCCTTAGTAGTTATAGTTCCAGTCAGATTGTTTACTGCTTTGTGCTGCAGTCTTAGTAGATTCTGTGTTTCTAGGAACATTTTCATCCATTATTTTTCTCATTATTTCAAGTGAGAAGAAATTTAATCCTCATCACCATCTTGGCCAGTGGAGGTCCTGTCCTATTTCACAGACATCTGTGGAAGTCAAAGTGCCCTTTGCAGAATAAATTCAGACTTGATGGAGAAAGCAGGGATGGCAAAGTAGCCAAGGGCACCGACCTTGGTGGTATGCTGGTCCAGAGAGGGAGCCTTCCGACCACAGGCCAGAGGCTGGGTGATGGGCCAACCAGCTTCAGACCATCTGGCCCTGAGTTGCCTCATGTGGGTTGACGTGTTGGATATAACACATTGAGCTTACTGACTCTAAGGGTTCTTGTTCCCTAGATAGAGCTATTTATGGGGCATACTACTCTGTTCTCAATGACATACTAATTTTTTTTCAGCTTTTGAATATGTCAAACTACAAGGAAAAGTTCTCTACTCTGCTGTGGCTAGAGGAGATCCATGCAGAAATAGAACTGAAGGAGTACAACATGAGTGGAGTTATCCTGAAGAGGAATGGGGATCTGCTGATACTAGAGGTCCCGGGGCTGGCTGAGAGCAGACCTTCCCTCTACGCAGGTACGGTGGTGCTGTCTGCTCCTTTGGGGCCCAACAGAACGAATACCTAGAGAAAACTTTTGCAGCTAGCCATATGCTTGCATTGTTTGATTTCTGTTCTTGGATAGTGCTTCACTTAAATTGAATAGTTGATCAGCTACTTATGTATATTAAGCATATTTCTTTGTTACGTAGTATCTTTAAGCATCTGATCCTAGTATAGCAGGAGAAATTTGTGATTTTGTGTTGGTCTGATGCAAGATAATATATTTTTTAATTAGGTGACAAACTGATTTTAAAATCTCAAGAGTACAATGGACATGTCATTGAGTACATCGGCTATGTCATTGAGGTGAGAAGACATCTTCCTAAAAGCTGAAGGTCAGGCTTACCTTCACCTACCCTCAGAGAAGGAGTTCCTTGAGTTTCATCTGTGTATTGGGACATATAAGTATAAAGTGTACCATTGAATTATTTTTATATCTGAAGGGATGTATAAGTACCTAAATAAATCCTATAATTTCAACCATGTAAGTTACATATAAGAGTCATGATGCTTGCAGGCAGTCAACTTTGGGCACTCTGGAAGCCTCAACAGGAAGGAAGGACCCTCAAGTGTGCAGCTATTATTCTGAGACAGGGAAAGACTTGTTCTTGATGTTTTATATCACCGTGTCTGTGGGGTCTGTGACTCTCAGGCATTTCCACTATTTGTATATTGAGCACAGGCTCATGAGTAATGCTGGAATCTATGTGGAAAATATTAATCTGTGCATCAGAGAAGATACATTACTTAACAGAAAGCTTAAAATGAAATTTCCAGAGCCTTCATCTTGGGAGTGAGGAGATCTAGTAGAGACTCAAAAGATCTTTGAGAGAGCATCAGACCTTTGCCTTTGGCTCCGCTCTGTTCCCTAGTACTGGTAATACTGACTTAGTTATCAGAATACAGTGTTTTCTCAGAAGACCAAACCTTGTTGGGCAGGGCTCCAGAGGTCTTGTAAAGACAGTGCAGCATGTGTGCTAAACCCCAAGCTGCAAGTCATGTTTAGTCCTCTCCCTTTAGTGAGGATTGCAAGCAACAGTGACAGAAGACAATGGATAGTTTCCAATATTGGACATAAGAGGAAGACTGCAGGCAATTATTGCAGGGGGAGGGGCACACTTTTTGTCTTAAAAGACAAAAAGAACTTTAGTAGCCCAAAAGGCACAGAACATGACTTCAGAAGGCATTCAGGAGAGGAAGCTGCCTTGTACTCCCAGGAAATAACCCCTGTGTCTATCCATGCTGACAGCCCCTGAGCTCTCATCTTTGAATGGTGGGACTTGGCCCCATTACAGAGCAGCTGCTGCTTGGCCGGTATCAGAAGGCTTGGTTCTGTATCAGAAGGTTTAGTTTGCCTCACCCAACTCCACAGCCCACATTGGCTGGTGACTAAGCAGCACAAGGAAACCACAAACGACCAGTGATGTTAGTTTCCAAATAGACTAGTGACCATGTCAAGAGGGAAACCCTGGGTGCCAAAGAACCTGAATCAGGCACTGGGCATTGGTGATTCACACCTATATTCCTGGCTTCCTGAGAGGCTGAAATTGGGAAGATTACAGTTCAAGGCAAGCCTGGCAGAAAAATGTCCAAGAGCTCTTCTCAATCTTAGCTATATATGCATGTACCTGTAACTCTTAGATACTTGGGAGGCTGAGATCAGAAGAATTGAGGTTCTAACTATCCTGGGCAGAAAGGTCTGCAAGATCCTATATCTCAGTGGCAGAAGCTGGAGCATGGCAGTGTGTGTTTATTGTCCCGGCTAAAGCAGGAAGCCTAAAATAGGCAAATCACACCCTAGGGAGGAAGAGAAGCCCTATTTCAAAATACTGCAAAGAAAGGGCTAGAGGAGTGGCTCAGTGATAGAGTGCCTGCCTAACAAGTATGAAGCCCTGACTTCAAACTCTAGTACTGAAGAAGAAAAGAAGCAGCATTATAGAGCTAAGCAGGAAGCACTGCCGCTTTGCTTTGTCTCCACTCCGTTGTCTGTATGGGAATGACTGCCTGGGACTCACTCAGAACTGATGTAGCAGGCAGCTGACTTGGTACAAAATATTGAGACACCATGGACCTTCAATTGTTTCCCTTTAGAGCTGGGAATGTGACTTAGTGGTACAGTGCTTGCCTAGCAAGCATGAAGCCCTAGGTTCAATTCCTCAGTACCACATACACAGAAAAAGCCAAAGTGGTGCTGTGGCTCAAGTGGTAGAGTACTTGTCTTGAGCAAAAGAAGCTCAGGGATGGTGCCCAGGCCCTAGATTCAAGCACCAGGACTGGCAAAAAAAAAAAAAAAAAAGGTTCTACCTTTACATTGACCTTCTGAACCAAGCATGGCTATACATCTATCCAGTAGAGACAGTCCAGAGAGTTTCTTGATCCCTGGCAAGTTTTGCCCTCCTTTGATGGCCAGTTTTGGTCTTTTGTAGCTTTTTGTCTTTTTTTTTTCCTTTTTTTTTTCCAGGGCTGAGGACCGAACCCAGGGCCTTGCACGCGCCCTTCCGCTGGGCTAAACCCCCAGCCCCTGATGGCCAGTTTTGGAACTTAGGGGAAAGAAGTACAGTCCACTGCCAGCTGGACACACACAAGGTCCTCTGCCTTCCCAAAATGTGTGCTGGGGACACTCCCACTTGTTTCCTTCCCCGTCTCCTTCTTGCCTTTACTTCTCAGTACTCTGAGTGAGTCTTTAAAGCTCCCCTGCTGTCTTGTATTTGCCCATTTTCTTATTTTACACAAGATTTTCAGATACTTGCTTGTGTCTGTCTGTGATGTCCTTGACAGCACAAACTTCTAATGAGGGCTCTTGGTGCCACTCTCACTTGCGATGGCTTTTTTCTAACTATGCTTAGTGATCTCTGGCTGTAGCTCGCCTTTCATTCCTCATCTCTCTGGGAAACCCAGAGACTTTTATCTGGTGACCTTCCTGTTAAGTGGCGGTGGCAGTGTCTGCCAAGAATAAGAAGGCAGTCTAGGAATCCATTCTGGCATTTGACCTTGTGCATAAACTTCCTCTCCATCATGTCAGACTCCACTCAGGTTTTGGCTTCCTGCCTCTGCTAGTGCTGCCCTGGCCCTTGGGAAGCCCGCCCCTTGCCCTCCATTGTGCTCCTTACTCTCCTGAGAGTGTGGGGCTTCTTCCCATATCCCCTCAGAAGTTTTCTTTTCTTACCTGTTGTTCATGAAAGAATATGAGGAATTTTCATGTAGGTTCCCTATAGTATAGCTGTGGAAACTTTGAGTCAGGAGCCCACCTTGCACTGTGTTCACAGCGCCTTTGGTACCGGGAGAAGTTCACTGAATGAGTTGGTGTGAGTGAAGACATTGCCAGTACATAATGATCGTATAATTTGATGGTAGTGATTTGATTCAATTAAATTTTCAAGTATTTAAGATTTTAGCTTAAGTGCATAAAGATCAATTTTACAAATGTATTATTATAAAATGAGTTTTTTTGTGATGGGTTTCTGGATATAGTTATAAGGTTCCAAGAAGTTAAGTCTAGTGTGTGACATTAAAACGCTTGTTTTTCAGATTCATGAAGAAGATGTTACTCTTAAACTTAATCCAAAATTTGAACAAACATACAACTTTGAACCTATGGATGTGGAGTTTACATACAATAGGTAAGGCATGCAAATGTTTCCTCATCATTGTTGGATGTTCTGCCCTTGAGTAAATCTGAAGTCTCCACAGTGATAGAGAAAGTGCCAGGTGGTCTGTACCTCTGCCCTGTCGGTTCTAGGCACCTCCTGTGTATGCTCATTAATAGAACTGTATTGCCAAATATTTCTTGGTACACAAAGGTGCATGAATTTATGTGCTAAGTCTTGTGTGTGCATGCATGTGCGTGCGTGCGTGCGTGTGTGTGTGTGTTTGTGTGTGTGTGTGTGTGTGTGTGTGTAGGCATGCATGCACACCAGTGCTGGAGCTTGAACTCAAGGTCTTGTGCTCTTACTTGGCTATTACATTTAAGACTGGTGCTCTAGGGCTGGGAAGGTGGCTCAGTGGTAGAGTACTTGCCTTGCATGCATGAGGCCCTGGATTTGATTCCTCAGTACCACATAAGCAGAAAAAAAAAAAGCAGGAAATGGCGCTGTGGCTCAAGTGGTAGAGGGCTAGCCTTGAGCTGAAGAGCTAAGGACAGCACCCAGGCCCAGAGTTCAGGCCCCAGGACCAGACCCAAAAAAAAAAAAAAAAAAAACTGTTGCTCTACCACTTGAGCATGCCTCCACTTCCAGATTTTTTGATAATTAATTAGAGATAATATTCTTGGATTTATCTGCCTATTGATGACTTTGAATATTGATCCACAGATCGCAGCTTCCTGAGTAGCTAGGATTACTGCTGTGAGCCACTGGTGTCTGGCTGTTCATTCACGTTCAAATCTTACATGCCCCATGCCTATACTTGCTATCAGCATTAGTCCCTCAGGTCTTTTGCCGTATTCACTTATGTGTCTCACAGGTGCTATAAACTGTCATCCATTTGACTCTCCTTCATCTAGTGAACCCCCAACCATTAACTAGAATTTTGTGTTTAATTTTACCTTTTTTTTTTTTTGTCGGTTGTGGGACTTGAACTCTGGGCCTGGTGCTATCCTTGAGCTCTTCAGCTCAAGGCTAGTGCTCTACCACTTGAGCCACAGCACCACTTCTGGCTTTTTCCATTTATGTGGTGCTGAGGAATTGAACTCAGGGCCTCATGCATGCGAGTTAAGCACTCTACCTCTGAGCCACCTTTCCAGTCCCCTTTTGTTGTTTTTTGACCTGGAGAGATTCCAACTATCTAGCCCAGACTTGTCTTTAAACACTTAATCCTCCTACTTCAGACTGCTGAATAGTTTGGCCTTACAGGAGTGGTCTCTTACTTCTTTCTTTTTTTTCTTTCTTGTTTTTTTTTTCTTTTTTTGGTACCACTCCTGGGGCTTAACCTGCTCTGTCATTTGAGCCATAGCTCCATGTTCTACTTTTTAGAAGTTCATTGAAGATAAATTGAATCTTATGGACTTTTCTTGCCCTGGCTCGCTTTGAACCACCATTCTCAGAATCTCAGCCTCCTGAGTAACTAAGATTACAGGCATAAGCCACCAGTATCTGACATCTACTTTTTCAAGAAAGTACATGCAGGAAGAATGTATTCTTTGTAGGTACATGCAGAAAGAATATGTTCTTTGGTTTTAACTATTTTGATATTTATAAAAGGATTGACTTAAACACAGTGCTCATGCCTGTAATACTAGCTACTTGAGAGGCAGATGTCTGAATATTGTTTGGTCCAGCCCAGGAGAAAACTCATAATACCCCTATCTCAACTAATACAGAAAAAAGCCAGGCACTAATGGCTCATGCCTGTAATCTCAGGAGGCTTAGATCTCAGGATCAAGGTTCGAGGCCAGCCTGCATAGGAAAGTCTCAGCCTCCAGAGTAGCTAGGATTAGAGGCGTGAGCCACTGGCACTCAGCTGCTCATTTGTTTTTATATTATATGATCTGACTCTTACCTCTAATTAACCACCAAAAAAGCCAGAAGTGGAGTTATGGCTCAAGTGGTGGAGTGCTAGTCTTGAGCAAAAAGGTCAGGGACTGTTCCCACACCCTGAGTGTAAGCCCCAGGACCAGTACAAAAAAAAAAAGCTGAACATGGTGGTGTGTGTCTTTCATTTCAGCTATGCAGGAAATATAATGAAAAACGTAGCAGCCCAGGGCAGGTCAGGGAATAAACACAAGACCCTAATTGATTAATACGATAGTGCACCAGCATTGAGTGAAAAAACCAAGTCAATGTGAGGCCCTTAGTTCGAGCTTTCATATAGGCATATGACATAGAGAAGGAGAGAGAGGCAGAGAGAAGAGGAAAGGAGGGGAGAGCAAATGAGAAGGGGAGAAGAAAAAGAAAGGAAAAAGGGAAGGTGGGGTATGGCTCAAGTAGTAGAGCTCCTACCTAGTAATACCACCTAAAAAGAGAGGAGCTTGCATTATGGAGCTCCAGAGAATTGTATTTTTCATTGAACATTATGTTTTTTGTGTAAAATTGTTCAATTGTTGGGTGTGTGTGTGTGTGTGTTTCCTTGTCGTTCCTAGGACTTGAACTCAAGTTCTGGGTACTATCTTTTAGTTTTTTTGTTCAAATCTAGCATTCTATCACTTGAGCCACAGCTCCACTTCCTGCTTTCTGGAGGCTAATTGGAAATAAGAGTCTCATGGACTTTTCTGCCCAGGCTGGCTTCAAACCTTGATTCTCAGGTCTTAGCCTCCTGAGTAGCTAGAATTACAGGCATAAACCATGAGCCACTGGTGCCCCTCAGCTGTTCATTTGTTTTTATATTATACTATGTGTGACTGTGTGAATGTCCTCCCTATCTGTTGATGTGTGTTTTCATTTTCTTCTTTGATTATTGCTGTACTAAAGGGCCTCTAGTAGTTAGGACTGAATTATAGGTTTAGGATCTGATGTGTTCCCCCATCACATGTGGTTGCAGCACTGACTTCTAGTATCTTCTAGAGACTTATCTATTGATCTTTATTTCCCTAAAACCTAATTTTGTTAAATTTCTTAACCCGTGCAAACCTGGTAGATGTATAGTATAGCTCATTATGAACTTGACTTGCATTTCTCTATTTAGTAGTGAATAATGGCCATTTTTGTTAGCCATAAAATACTTACCTTGTATGATATGCGTGCTTTTTATAGAGTTTGGGTTCTTTCTGGGGCGGTACTGGGATTTGAATTTAGGGCTTTACACTTGCAAGGTAGGTGCTATACTGTGTAAGTCTCACCTCCAGCCCCTTGCACTGGTGATTTTTTAAATAGACTATTGTTTTTGTTTGTTTTGTTTGTTTGTGACTGAGGCCAGCCTGGATCACAATCCTGTTTACATTTCCTCAAAACATAGCTGTCATAACAGGCACGTTGCCACTGCAGCCAACTGTTAGTTATGGTGAAGTCTTGTGAACTTTTTACCTGGGCTCACCTTGAACCACAGCACTCCAAATTTGCAACTACGAAATAGCTAGAATTACTTGCAGGAGATTTTTTTAATCTTTGTCACCTATATCACTTGAGAGTTTTTAGTATTATTGTAAATTCTGATTTCAACTTAAATTTCTAATTGTGTTTCAGTATTTGTCAAAGCAGTTGATCTTGTATCCTGCAGGCTTGTAAAACTCGATTAGTAGCTTTTTACAGATTGCCAAGTATTTTCTATATTACACGATCATGTATTAAATAAAGACAATTTTACTTCTTCCTTTCTTGTCTGGTTACATTTTAATATGTTTTACCTTGCCTTCCTGCACTGTAAGAACTTTGGGGACAGTGCTGGTGGTAAGCATGGGTTTACCTTTTTCTTGTCTTCAAAAGGACATCCACCCTTGGTCATCTTATTTACCAGGTTGAGGAACTTGAGTTCTTAATTGAGGTTGTTTGCTGGGGTTGTTTTTGTTTGTTTGTTATGGTCAGTCATAGGGCTTAAAATCAGGGCATGGGCATTCTCCCTGAGGTTTCTTTTGCTCAAGGCTAGCACTGTACCACTTTGAGCCATAGCTCCACTTCTGTTTTTTTGGGTGGTTAATTGGATATAAGTCCCATGGACTTTTCTGCCTGAGCTGGCTTTGAACCAAGTCTTCAGATCTCAGCCTCCTGATCAGTTAGTCCTACAGGTGTGAGCCATCAGTGCCCAGCTCTAAATTGAGTTTTTAATCAAGAATGTGTATGGATTTTGTTCAATGCACTTGTTAGATGTAATTCACTAAAACTTTATTTTCATGTTATTATCTTGGGATATATTAATCTACATCATCCCTTCATTTTACATATTCTGGGAGAATTTGTTTTTATTGTAAAAATAGCGTACCCTGAGGTGTTACACTAAGGTAATGAGTACATGTCCTATGGAGCACTGTTACCTCTTCCTTTGTTTTTCCCCTACCATCCCTTCCTTCCCCACCTCCCTAAATCCCCTCCCAAGTTGTAAAGTTCATTTTCAACATACTGTCTTGTACATCTCATTGTTACAATGGGTAAACCTATATCCTTATTTCAGCATTTTGTTATTTCCCTTCCCCTCCACAAATTAGAAAAATGTATATACAAGGGCACCGACAGGGCTAGGAAGGTGGCTCAGTGGTAGGACTGCTTGCCTTGCATGCATGAGACCCTGGGTTCAATTCCTCAGCACCACATAAGCAGAAAAAGCCGGAAGTGGCACTGTGGCTCAAGTGGTAGAGTGTTAGCCTTGAGCTGAAGAGCTGAGGGACAGCGCCCAGGCCCAGAGTTCAGGCCCCATGACTGACCAAAACAAACAAACAAACAAAAAAAGCACCGACGTCAAATTCAGTGAAAATGGGTTATACCATGGGGAAAGAACATACAAAAGAAACAAAAAAAATCATATCTGGAGACTTTATGTAGAATGAGTTTCATTTCCTCCTTAAAAGTTTGGCAAGGGGTGGCGCTGTAGCTCAAGTGGTAGAGCTGAAGAGCTGAGGGACAGCGCTCAGGCCCAGAGTTCAAGCCCCACAACCGACAAAAAAAAAAAAAAAAAGTTTGGCAAAATTCATGCAAGGTTCTCAGAGTTTTCATTGTAAGAGCTTTTTTTTCACATTCTGGGGCTTGAACTCAGGATCTGGGTTCTGTCCCTGAAATTTTGTGCTAGTGCCATACCACTTGAGGCACAGTTTCACTTAGGCTTTTTGGAAGTCCATTGTAGATAAAAGTCTCATGCACTTTCTTGCCCAGGCTGGCTTTGAACATCAGTCCTCAGCTCTCAGCCTCTTGAGCACTTGGATAAGGAAAGCTTTTAAACTATATATTTTTTCAATAAAGGACCGTTTGGGTTATCAGTTTATTCTTGAGTAAATTTTGGTAGATGTGGCTTTTAAGGAGCTAAAAAAAAATTATTGAAGTTGTCTAATATATTTGTGTAAAATTAAGTATTTCTTGATTATCTTTTTAATATCTGTAATATGTAGTGATTTAACCTTTCTAATTCCTAATGTTGATGGATTGTGTCTTTCCTTTCATCAGTTTGGCCAAGTCTTACTATTTTAGCAATCTTTTCAAAGACTCAACTTCCAGCTTCATTGGCCTTTGCTAGTGTCTTTCTGTTGTTTCAGTGATTTTTGCTTTGATCTCATGAGGTGATTATATTTTTCTTCAGTCTATTAATATAAACTCAAACTGGCTCTCCTACTATTCTAAGTTATATAACACATAATTTTAACCTACTTCCACAATAACTGTATTGTCCTCAAGATCTGATTCTCTTTTAAAGGTCCGGCCTCCCTAAAGCATCACACTGGCAATTACATTTCTATTTCCCCTAGGTTCAGTCATCTGCACTGAAAAAAAAAAAAAAGTTTTTCAACATGGGTTTTTCTTTTTCTTTTTTCTTTTTTGTCAGTCATGGGGCCTGAACTCTGTCCCTCAGCTCTTCAGCTCAAGGCTAGCGCTCTACCACTTGAGCCACAGAGCCACTTCCAGCTTTTGCTGCTTATGTGGTGCTAAGGAATTGAACCCGGGCCTCATGCATGCAAGGCAAGCATTCTACCTCACTGAGCCACCTTCCTAGTCCCTCAACATGGGTTTTCTAAAGGACATTCACATCATGGCAATTGTGTGATCACTTTTATTCGCTTGAAGCATTTTAAACTTATGGTTAGTTACTTTATGTCTTTTTCTCTTAGGACCACAAGCAGACGGTGTCACTTTGCACTTGAACAAGTCATCCACTTAGGTGTAAAAGGTAGTATTTTATAGACCGGTAATGCTGTCTTCCCAAAGTATTGCTTTAGGCTGTTGATGTTGAAACTAAAACTATATGATACCCATATGTTTTATTTTTCCACTAGGAAGAATATACTTTTTTTTTTGTCAGTTGTGGGGCCTGAACTGGGCCTGGGCGCTGTCCCTCAGCTCTTCAGCTCAAGGCTGGCTAGTGCTCTACCACTTGAGCCACAGCACAGCACCCACTTCCTACTTTTTCTGCATATGTAGTGCTGAGGAATCGAACCCAGGGCTTCATGCATGCAAGGCAAGCACTCTACCACTGAGCTACCTTCCCAGCCCCAAGAATATACTTTTTATTATTACAAATAGATAAAAAAAATAGCATGCTTTGGGCTGGGAAAGTAGCTCAGTGGTAAAGCGCTTGCCTTGCATGCATGAGGCCCTGGGTTCAATTCCTCAGCATCACATAAGAAAAAAGAAAAAAAACAGAAGTGGTGCTGTGGCTCAAGTGGTAGAGCACTAGCCTTGAGCTGAAGAGCTGAGGGACAGCGCCCAGGTCCAGAGTTCAGGCCCCATGACCGAACCCCCCCCCAAAAAAAAAACATGCTTAAATAGTTGAAAAGAAATGTATCAAACTCAGCTTTGTATTCCTTTGACTTTACAAAAAAATGATGTTGCAAAGAATATGCAGTTCTATAATAATGCTAAATTTATACAGTATAAAGGAAGTCCAGAAGAAATGGAATAGAATACAAATAATTTTACTATCAGCCATAAACATTTAAGTTGCCTCCATTCACATTTTTTAAGCTTTTCAGTAATACCTGCATCTTATGTTTTCTTGTTTTGAAGTGTTATTTCCAGAAGAAATTATTTTACAGTCTCCTCAAGTGACAGGGAATTGGAGCTATACACAAGAAGCCAAAGGTGATGGACAGTCCTCCCCCAAGGTAGTGCTTTTATATGTTCAAACATGAGTTCACGATTGAGTACTAGAGAAGTGTATTTCACAAGTAACCCCAAATCACAGATTAATTGTAGTTATAATTAAAGATGTTGCCATGTATTTAGCGGGAAAAGTGAGATATAAGTGTTTGTGTGCTCTGTTTTACTCTTAAATTATATGTTATATACACTTAGATATATTTTTGTGCTTGTATAACATACAAACTGTCTAGAAAAGACAGCTGCTGATGGCTGATTCCTGTAATCCTAGAGACTTAAGAGGTGGATATTGGAAGGATCATGGTTCAAGGCAAACCGGGCAAAAAATTTTCACAACCTCATTGCAACAAAAAGCTAAGTGAAGTGGTACATGCCTCTTATTTTGGCTAAGTTTAGCATGGCCAGGAAAAAAATGCAAGACCTTATTTTAAAAATAATCAGGGCTGGAAAGGTAGCTCAGTGGTAGAGTGCTTGCCTTGCATATACGAGGCCCTGGGTTCAATTCCTCAGCACCACATAAGCAGAAAAACCCGGAGGTGGCACTGTGGCTCAAGTGGTAGAGTGCTCGCCTTGAGCTGAAGCGCTGAGGGACAGCGCCCAGGCCCAGAGTTCAGGCCCCACAACTGACAACAATAACAACAACAACAATAATAATAATAATAATCCAGATGCGAATTGTCCATGGCTGTGATTCTGGCTGCTCAGGAGTCAGATCTGAGGATCAAGGTTCAAAGCCAGCCAGGGCAGGAAAGCCCATGAGATTCTTACCTCCAATGAACCACCAAAAAGCCAGAAGTGGACCTGTGGCTCAGCACTAACCTTAAGCAAAAAAAAAAAAGAACCTTAGTGTTGGACTGGGCATGTGGCTCAGTGGTAGAGTGCTTGCCTACCATGCATGAAGCCCTGGGTTCAATTCTTCAGAACCACATACACAGAAAAAGCCAGAAGTGGCACTGTGGCTCAAGTGGTAGAGTGACCAGGCCCTAAATTCAAGCCCCAGGACTGGCAAAAACAAACAAACAACAAAAAAAAAACCTTCAGGATTAATGCCCAGGCCCTGAGTTCAAGCCCCAGGATGGATGGACCAGCACAAACACACAAGTACCTATGCACACACATACACAGACATGCATACAATAACAACCAGAGCAATAAGAGATTGGAGACATGGCTCAAGTGATAGAATACTCATCTAGTAAATAATGCTCTGAATTTCAGCCCCAGTACTGCCTTCCCTCCCCCAAACAAATAGATGTTTGGCTTATGAAATTGTCTCTATTAAGGGCTGGGAAGGTGGCTCAGTGGTAGAGCACTTGCCTTGCATGCTCAAGGCCCTGGGTTCGATTCCTCAGCAGCACATAAGAAAAAAAAGCCGGAAGTGGCACTGTGGCTCAAGTGGTAGAGTGCTATCCTTGAGCTGAAGAGCTGAGGGACAGCGCCCAGGCCCAGAGTTCAGGCCCCACGACCGGACCCCCCCCCAAAAAAAAGAAAGAAAGAAATTGTCTCTATTATTGTATTATTTACCTATCTTTTTATTGGGGGGGCAGTCCTGGGCTTGAATTCAGAGCCTGGGCACTGAGCTGCTTTTGCTCAAGGCTAGCACTCTACCACTTGAGCCACAGTGCCAATTCCAGCTTTTTCTGTTTATGTGGTACTGAGAAATTGAACCGAGGGCTTCATGCATGCTAGGCAAGCACTCTATCACTAAGCCACATTTCCAGCCCTATTTACCTATCTTTAAAACTGGAAAGTATGAAAATTGTAGTTATTCAGTAGTTCAACTTTCTTTTTTCTTTTTTTTTGGAGGGGGGTCCGGTCATGGGGCCTGAACTCTGGGCCTGGGCACTGTCCCTTAGCTCTTCAGCTCAAGGCTAGTGCTCTACCACTTGAGCCACCGCACCACTTCTGGCTTTTTTCTTTTTTACTTATGTGGTGCTGAGGAATCGAACCCAGGGCCTCATGCATGCAAGGCAAGCACTCTACCACTGAGCCACCTTCCCAGCCCCAAGTAGTTCAACTTTCTAAAATTGCATAAAATATTCCCGAATATATTTTTCTGTTTTAAATGATCATATAAATGGATATCTCTGTATTTTACTTTTTAAATCATATGCATTTATCTAATTTATAAAATCATATGCACACATGTGCTATTGTACGTGTGTGCGCGCGCACGCATGTGTGTGTTTGCGTGTGTACTGTGGCTTAAACTCGGGACCTGGGCACTGTCCTTGAACTTTTTTTTTTTTTTTTTGGTGGGTCATGGGGCTTGGGTTCTGTCCCTGAACTCTTCAGCTCGAGGCAAGCGCTCTACCACTTGAGCCACAGCGCCACTTCCGGTTTTCTAGTGGTTTATTGGAGATAACAGTCTCACAGACTCTCCTGCCCGGGCTGGCTTTGAACCATGATCCTCAGATCTCGGCCTCCTGAGTAGCTAGGATTACAGGCATGAGCCACGGGTACCTAGCTGTCCTTGAACTTTTTTGCTCAGAGTTAGCAGTCTTACCACTTGAGCAACAGCTCTGCTTCTGGCTTATGGGTTAATTGGAGATAAAAGTCCCTCAGACTTTTCCTGCCTGGGCTAGCTTTGAGCCATGATCCTCAGATCTCAGTCTCCTGAGTAGCTAGGATTGCAGGCATGAGGAACCAGTACCTGGCCACACATACACTCATTAATAAGTACTAAAAATTAGGAAAGACACTGGGTTGAGGATGTATCACCATGATAGTTTACTTGCCTAGCATTCACAAGGCCCTGGGTTCCATGGGGTTCCATGCCCAGCACCAGTAAATCAATAAATAACCCACATAGAGAAAATTTAATTAATAACCTTAAAATAACCTTAAAAGTAACATAATGATAACATTAGCAGACAAAGACATTAAAACAGTTATTTTAGCTATAATATTCAAGAAAGTAGAAGACATGAACATATGAAGTCAGGATATGAAAGACAGATTATCTAGAGGGTGGATGAATATAGTTATACTATGCAATGTCCATATGTGAAAATGGATCCAAGTAATTTGAGGAGATGAGTGGGATTGGGAGAGATGGGGAAGAACAATGGAAGGGTGATCCTGATTGAGATGCATTGGATTCATAAACTGGCTTTCCTGTGGCATTGGTTTCTCATGTCCAAACTTGTCACATTACATACTTTACATGCTTGTACTGAACTGCATGTCAACTATACTCACCAGTGTCCGGGGCAGACCTTACAAGAAGGGGGAGATAAGGTTGTGTAGCTGCCTAGAATAAAATTTGGCAATATATAGTTTTAATGTTTGGTGTAGTGATTTTACAGATTCATCCTGTGAATGCAGTTGGCTACCTGAAGCTTTTGTTTAAAGCTGTTACCGAATTCTTTGTAATAGAAAAATTAGAAGAGCAGTTCCCTTGGTCGAGGGCAAATGATATTTGTGTTTAAGCACACATACAAAATCACTTCTTGTGTAAACCTTAATCGCAGTTGACTGGCAATGCTGGCTCTTTATATTCTTAGAAAAGCACAGAGATACACTGTTCCCAGTCTCAGAAATGCTGCCCAGGGAAGTTCTTGGTGTCTTCAGGAGAGGTTCCCCCAAGCCATGACAGAGCCCAGATGTGCTTTGTGCTGTCAGCCTTCCATGTGCAGTCCAGCCTTGGAAGAGAGGAAAGGCCATACTAGTCAAATAAAAGTTAATCCTTTGTCTCAGTTTCATCACCATAAAATGTATTTTATTTTTTAAATCTTTTAAATAGAAGCTGGGTGCCAGTGGCTCTCACCTGTAATCCTAGCCACTCAGAGGCTGAGATCTGAGGATCATGGTGCAAAGCCAGCCCAGGCAGGAAGGTCTGAGACTCTTATTTCCAATTAACCACCAGAAAACTGGAAGTGGCTATGTGGCTCAAGTGGTAGAGCATGAGGCTTGAGCTGAAGAGCTGAGAGAGAGCACTCAGGCCCAGACTTCAAGCCCCATGACCAACAAAAAAAAAAGGATAAACTTTGGCAGCTTTTATTGAGCATTCTATACTTTATTATATTTGAAATGAAAGGACCTGTGACCCACCCAAAAAACTGGTAGCAGCAGGACGTTGATGTGTAGCTATATATCCGTTCTTCAGACTTACCTCATGTACACAAAGCTGTGGGTTTTAGCCACTTTCTGCATGATTATTTTTAGGACAAGAAACCCATGAAGGACCAAACAAAACCAACTGTGGATGCCATAGATCTACCGGGAATGGTGGCTTCTGCTACAGAGACTGTTGAGTTGGGTATGTGTATTTCAGGGACTAAGAGAAGAGAAACAGAAAACCATGCCTATAAATAAAGGGCCTTGAAAAAGGGTTAGTCTCTGACAGATGTATTTTGCAGAGACGTCTGGGCTTTATCCTGCCTGGAAGCTTTAAGTTGAATGCTTTAGAAAAGCCATTATATTGTGGATGGTTTTTTACTATGTAAGCTTTTAAGGTGTCATATAATTTGTTTCTTTGTTTTGTAAGGGTCTCATAGCCAGGTACCGTGGCTCATGCCTATAATCCTAGCTACTCAGGAGGCTGAGGTCTGAGGATCACAATTCAAAGCCAGCCCAGGCAGGAAAGTCCATGAGACTCTGATCTCCAGTTAACTACCAGAAAACCAGAAGTGACGCTGTGGATTAAGTGGTAGAGCACTAGCCTTGCGCTGAAGAGCTGAGGGACAGCACCCAGGCCCAGAGTTCAAGCCCCGTGATTGACCAAAAAATAAAAAAGTAGTGTCTCACTATGTTACCAGGATGGTCTCAAATTGATGGGATCAATCAGTCCTATCCCTTCAGGCTCCCAACTTAGGTAGCACGACAAGCACATATTACCGTGCCTAACTCAGACATTTTTTTTTTCTTTTGGTCTGGTTGTGGGGCCTGAACTCTGGGCTTGGGTGCTGTCCCTCAGCTCTTCAGGTCAAGGCTAGCGCTCTACCACTTAAACCACAGTGCCACTTCTGGCTTTTTTCTTTTTGCTTATGTGGTGCTGAGGAATTGAACCCAGGGCCTCATGCACGCAAGGCAAGCGCTCTACCACTGAGCCACCTTCCCAGCCCCTAACTCAGACATTTTTAAAGTGCTGTCTAATATTTTAGGTGATTACATCCTTTTTCCTTCAGAAGGCTACATTCATTTCCTGACTGCCTCACAAAGCACAGGCAGATGGTTGCAGGAATGTACTGTACTCAGTTTGCTCAGTGGTCAGTACCAATGGCTGTTGATATTTGAACCTTTAAGGCATCTGTGCTTTGATTCTTGATCAAGCATTGTGTCCTGCAGTTGTACAGAATTGTCTGGCATCTTAGGGCTGGGAAGGTGGCTCAGTGGTAGAGTGCTTGCCTTGCATGCATGAGGCCCTGGGTTCAATTCCTCAGCACCACATAAGCAAAAAGAAAAAAGCCGGAAGTGGTGCTGTGGCTCAAGTGGTAGAGTGTCTTGAGCTGAAGAGCTGAGGGACAGCGCCCAGGCCCAGAGTTCAGGCCCCATGACAGAACCCAAAAAAAAATTAAAAAAAAAAAAAGAATTGTCTGGAATCTTAACTAAACTTCCTGTCTGTTTGAATACAGTAGATGAAATTCAGATCCCTAAAGCAAGAGATAAAGAGTTCTTCAACCCTGTGCTAAATGAAAATCAAAAGCTAGCAGTTAGAAGAATTCTGAGTGGTGACTGTCGTCCAATCCCATATATTCTTTTTGGACCTCCTGGAACTGGAAAGACTGTGACAATAATTGAGGCTGTTTTACAGGTAAGGACAGCAGCATTGCTCATGACTCTACTGTGTTCATGTGTCTATATATGCAGAGACAGTTTAAACTCTAGAATCAGCCTAAAGAGCTTGAGAAAATCTGTTCTCATAACATTAAGTCTGTGAATTTTAGGATCTTAAAAAGTTATTTCACTGGGTGCCTATAGCTCATGCCTGTAATCCTAGCTGCACAGGAGGCTGAGATCTTAGGATCACAGTTCAAAGCCAGCCCAGGCAGCAAAGTCCATGAGACATCTCCAGTTAACCACTAGAAAACAGAAGTGGCACTATGGCTCAAGTGGTAGAGTGCTCGCCTGGAGCTGAAGAACACAGTGACAGAACCCAGGCCCAAAATTCAAGCCCCATGACTGACAAAAGAAAAAAGTTATTTGGGGCTGGGAAGGTGGCTCAGTGGTAAGAGTGCTGGCCTCCCGTGCATGAGGCCCTGGGTTCAATTCCTCAGCACGACATAAACAAAAGGCTGGAAGTGGCACTGTGGCTCAAGTGGTAGAGTACTTAGCCTTGAGCTGAAGAGATGAGGGGTAGTGTCCAGGCCCAGAGTTGAAAACCCATGACCAACAAGAAAAAGTTATTTTAAGCCAGGCACTGGTGGCTCATGCCTGAAATCCTAGCTGAGGAGGCTGAGATCTGAGGATCACAGTTCAAAGCCAACCCAAGCAAAAAAAAAAAAAAAAGTTGGTGAGACTCTTTTTGTCGGTCGTGGGGCTTAAACTCTGGGCTTGGGCGCTGTCCCTGTGCTCTTCAGATCAAGGCCGGCGCTCTACAACTTGAGTCACACCACTTCCAGTTTTCTCGTGGTTTTTTTTTTTTTTTTTGGAGATAAGAGTCTCAAGAGGAAGTGGCACTGTGGCTCAAGGGGTAGAGCGTTTGCCTTGAGCTGAAGAGCTGGGAGACAGTGCCCAGGCCCAGAGTTCAAGCCCCATGACTGACACACAAAAAAAAGTCTCATGGACTTTTCTGCCCAGGCTGGCTTTGAACCGTAATCCTCAGATCTCAGCCTCTTGAGTAGCTAGATAACAGGAATGAGCCACCAGCGCCTGGCTCGCTGTGACTCATCTCCAATAAACCACCCAGAAAAAGCCAGATGTGGCACTATGGCTCAAGTGGTAGTGTGCTAGCCTTGAGCACAAAGAGGCTCAGAGGCAATGTACAGGCAAAAAAAGCGGGGGGGGGATATTTCATATATGTAAAAGGAAACTTCTCTCTCAGAGGATAGCAGACATCCCTGCAGATGTGTTTACTGAAGAAGTTGCTTTGACAGTGGCTAAAGCTGTCACTCTGAGAAGCTGATAGCATCTATTTTAGGTTAAATTTATGAAAATATTATATAGTATTTTTTGTCACTCAGGATTTTGATTAGCAAACATAACTTGAATGCTTGTCCTAGCACTATACTTGGAGCAGGGTACATGAGATTTAATGTGACTTTGCTCTGCCTTAAGAGATATTTTAGAGCCAGGTACTGGTGGCTCATGCCTGGCATCCTAGCTACTTAGTTTAGAGCCAGGCTCTGGTGTCTCACACCTGTCATTCTAGCTACTCAGGAGGTTGAGATATGAGGGTCACAGTTCAAAGCCAGCCTGCACAGTTAGGTCCATGAAACTCTTATCTCCAATTAACTAGAAGTCTGGAAGTGGAGCTATGGCTCAAAGTGGAAGAGTGCTACCCTTGAGCAAAAGGGCTCAGTGACAGTACTCAAGCCCTACAAGCAACAGAGAGAGAGAGAGAGAGTAAGTATGTGTGTTTAAGATCATGGAGAGTGCTGACTACCTTACCATTGGGTCATAGGTTAGTATTGACCAATGAGGAGCCACTCTGAGATGTGTGGTGGCATGTTACAGAGATGGTCAGGAATTAAATCCAAACCTGCACCTCTGAATCTCTCTAAATGCACCTGAGTACGTTAGACATCAGACTCAGGTTTCCATTTTCATGGCTGATAGTTATGATCCTTGGTATCTTGTGTCTTGGATAAAGGTACATTATGCTCTGCCAGACAGCCGGATTTTGGTCTGTGCCCCCTCTAACAGTGCTGCTGACCTTGTGTGTTTGCGGCTGCATGAGAGCAAGGTGCTGAAGCCAGCTGCCATGGTCCGGGTGAATGCCACCTGCAGGTTCGAGGAGGTGAGCCATGTGTTTGGAGAGAAGGAATGTCATGTGCCAGCATGAGTAGAGAGGAGGAAGACAGTACCAAGTGGTCACAGAGTTGTGAAAGAAAATGTGCTTTGCCATAACTCAGCTCTATGGTGGGGTCTTACTCCTTTACTGCATTCCCACCTATTCTGAATTATCAGCCATATAGTGCACAAATTTTGTTTTGTTAAATTCTCATATTTTTCTTTTATCTGATCCCCAAATACATTGTTAGTTCTGTTTTATTTGTTTGGTTACAAATTATCTCTTCAGGGATGGCCAATAGACACATGAAGAAATGCTCAACCTCCTTAGCCATGAAAGAAATGTAAATCAAAACAACATTGAGATACCACCTCACCCCAGTTAGAATGGCAAAAACCAAGAACTCTAATAACAACAGATGCTGGAGGGGATGTGGACAGAAGGGAACCTTACTTCATTGTTGGTGGGAGTAAACTTGTTCAACCACTTTGGAAAGTAGGATGGAGGTTCCTCAAAAGACTCCACATAGAGCTCCCCTATGACCCAGCAATCCCACTTTTGGGCATTTACCCAAATGTTTACAAACAAGATCACACTAAAGCTACCAGCACAACTATGTTTATTGCAGCATTATTTACCATAGCTAAGATATGGAACCAACCCAGATGCCCCTCAGTAGATGAATGGATCAAGAAAATGTGGTATATATACACAATGGAATTCTATGCCTCCATCAGAAAGAATGACATTGCCCCATTTGTTAGGAAATAGAAAGACTTGGAAAAAATTATATTAAGTGAAGTAAGCCAAGCCCAAAGAAACATAGGTCCCATAGTTTCCCTTATTTGCAATATCTAGTATATGTATTTGTCAAGCAGAAAAGGTCAGATAAGGTGATGTTAAGAAAATGAACCCTAAGATATATATTTAAATGTTTTTTTTTCTTTCATGCATTTGTTTCTAACGCATTTATAAGATTATTTCTTTGTTGCTTTGTATGTCCCTCCCCCACAGTATAACCCCTGCTTTCACTGTATTTGATGTCAGTATAATTTGTGGAGGGGAAGGGGAAAAACAAGTCGTTTAAATAAGGATACAGATGGACCCGTTGCAGCAATGAGAAGTACAAGTTGTCATGTCGAAAATGAACTTTACAACTTTGGTGTGGCGGGGGGGGGGCTGGGAAGGGGATGTGAAGGGTAAACAAAGGAGGAGGCTACAATGCTTGATAAGAAATATACTCATTATCTTGCCTATGTAATTGTAACCCCTCTGTACAGTATATTTACAATAAAAAATAGAAAAAAACAAAAACAAATTATCTCTTCAGGGAAATTACAGGTTCCTGGTTTGTTTATGAATGAAATACTGTTTAAAAACACAACCCAAGGGCCAAGTGCAGAGGCACATGCCCATAATCCCAGAGGTGGGGCTGGGAAGATGGCTCAGAGGTAGAGTGCTTGCCTTGCATGCATGAGGCCCTGGGTTCAATTCTTCAATACCAAATAAGCAGAAAAAGCCAGAAGTGGCTCAAGTGGTAGAGTGCTAGCCTTCAGCTGAAAAGCTGAGAGACAGTGCCCAGGCCCAGAGTTCAGGCCCCACAACCAACAAAAATAGATAGAGAAAGAGAGAGAGAGATAGGAAATGGTGGGGAAAAAATGAGACCATAATCCCAAGGGTGTGGGGTAGAGGTAGGAGAGTTGTGGTCTAAAGCCAACCCAATTGAAAAACAAGAGACCAAAACAAAACAAGGAGCAATACTGTCAATGAGCCAGGCACCAATGGCTCACGCCTATAATCCTAACTACTTAGGAGGCTCAGATCTCAGGATTACAGTTCAAAACTAGCCAAGGCAGGGAAATATATTAGACTCTTACCTCCAGTTAACCATCAGAAAACTGGAAGTGGAGCTGTGGCTCAATTGTAGAGTGCTAGCCTTTAGCCAAAAAAAAAAAAAAAAAAAAGCTCAGAGACAGCTCCCAGGCCCTGAATACATGCCCACAACCAAAAACAACAACAAAAAAAAATTATACTCATTACCTAACTTACAAAATAGTAATTCCTCTGTACAGCACCTTAATAACAATAAAATTATATTTTAAGAAAATTGAGGGCTAAGAAGGTGGCTCAGTGGTAGAGTGCTTGTCTCACATGCATGAGGCCCTGGGTTCGATTCCTCAGCACCACATAAGCAAAAAGAAAAAAGCCGGAAGTGGCGCTGTGTCTTAAGTGGTAGAGCGCTAGCCCTGAGCTGAAGAGCTGAGGGACAGCGCCCAGGCCCAGAGTTCAGGCCCCACGACTGGACCCCAAAAAAAAAAAGAAAGAAAGAAAATTGAAAGACCATTTATTGTCAGAAAAGTAATGGAAGGGTAGAGTGCATGTCTCAAATAGTAGAGCAAATGAGAGGCTTTAGGGCTCTCAAAAAGAAACAAACCAGAAAGTTGTTTTCTGATAGGAGCTGCAGGATTCTGTTATATTCATGTCTCCAGAGTCAACAAAACAGACTTGATTTGAAAATGATTAGTCTTACTAAGAAGTGTTAGCAAGGGAAAATTATTTATTTATTGTAAGATGAATAAGAGTGTCTTATTCCTCTCAGCTTTGTCTTTCTGTGGAGCTTAAGCAAATGTTTAAATGAAAACAAAACTTGCCTCTACCTTCTTTGCTGCAGACCATCATCGAGGCTATCAAACCATACTGCAGAGATGGGGAAGATATCTGGAGAGCCTCTCGGTTCAGAATAATAATCACCACGTGCAGCAGCGCAGGGCTTTTTTACCAGATAGGGGTGAGGTAAGCACCAGGCATTGTGTGTGGGATGCAGGTTCCCCAGGATGGACTGTTCTTTTCTTGCTTGGTCTGTGAGGAGACTGTATAGACACAGTGGTAGAGGGGAGCCACAGCTGTGAGTGATCCTAATGGGTGGAGATGGCTTTTCTGAAGAAACAGTATTGGTGCTAAGGCCTAGTGGGTGTGTAGGTGATTCACTGGGAGTCAGCTGTGGAAGCAGGCAGCGCAGTACCTACACCCTTTGAACCACCAGGCTTCTTTCACACTCACCCTGTCTCTGTAGCCTTCCAGACAAACGCATGTGCTGCTTGCATTGCATCAGGTTGCTGCCACAGATTCACAGGCTTCTGCTCGTGATGTCTGGATCCCCACTCTTGCCCCCTGCTACCCCACTTTGACCCCTAGTGTGGAGTAGGACTTTGCCAGTGTATCCAGCATCAATTGCTAAGTCAGCTGTCAGGAACTAACCAGTTAAACGTCTTTTGCTCTAGAGTTGGACACTTCACACACGTTTTTGTGGATGAAGCTGGGCAAGCAAGTGAGCCAGAGTGCCTTATCCCTCTGGGTCTGGTTTCAGAAGTGAGTGGCCAGGTAAGACTGTGTACTGTGTGTTGTGTGTGCATTACACTGGTCAGGTGAGCACATGAGGACCCCAAGGAGCTGGACCTGCCTCTACTCTCTGTCACAACCTCAGTACTTTGTGGCTGGGCAGAAGACACTGCTTTGTTGTGATTTACTACTGGCAGACATAAGCTAAGAACTCTTGTGAGTCTGCATCTGTAGTCCCTGGGCTGAGGGAGCCTTATGTGGCCAAGGGGAGAAGACAGGGTTTTGTGTCCTACCAGGATTTCCCCTGTCCCCTTTCACTGTGCTGCTCAGTGCCTCTCCAGTTCTGTGTGTGCCTGACAGGCCCTGCCTGATCCTTCCTCTGGTGCGTCTGGCAGAGGCACCATCTTCAGTTCCACTGATTTCCCCCGTTGAAGGCTCATCTGACACCTGCCATGTAAACGTCTCAGGCTTCTCCTGAGGACACCCCACTGCCTTTGCTTAGGTCATTGGGCTCTCAGAAGCAGAGCACAAGAAGGGCTGAAAGGGAGTGTAGATTGGTCTAGTCCAGACGTGAGGTCTCAGGATGAGACAAGGGATGATCAGCATGATGTGGCGTGGGGGGCCTGTGCCAGGAGAGGGCACTGGGGAGAAGGCCCTGGGGGGTTGTCAGGGCCAGGCACAGTGGAAACTTCAAGAACATAGGTTGCATACTCAGGACTCTGGCTACTGTTAGAAGTTAATGGGACAAGGACAAAGTGGGAACCTATGCAACAGCGATACCCACAAGACAGTACGTTGGAAATGATCTGATTTGTGGAGGGAGGAAGAGAGAGATAAAAATGAAGGAGGAGAGTAACAAGTTAGACAAGAAATGTAATCACTATGACCTTACTTATGTAACTATAACCCCTCTGTCTATCACCTTGACAATAATTTTTTTAAAAAAACTGCAAAAATAAGTTAATGGGAGAGAAAACCCAGCTGCGGGAAATGAGACAGATGGAAGCAAGTACTGAATGCTCTGCAGAAGAGCTTGACTCTCTGGCTCATTTAGTGTTTTCTGTTTCTACTGCTTTATCCAAGTCACTACCAGTTCCACCAGCATCTTCCCTGGTCTCTCAGCCTCTTCCGTCATCCCCTGCAGCCAGAGAGGACAAGAACCAACCTGTACAGCACCAATCCTAACTGGTGGAGGATGCCTGCCTGTCACTCCTGTGGGTCCCCCACCTTGATATAGACTGTTGTGCTATCAACTCTCTACTAGCTAAGCTTTGTATGTGTCACAGATTGTGCTTGCTGGAGACCCCATGCAGCTTGGGCCAGTCATCAAGTCCAGGCTAGCCATGGCCTACGGGCTGAATGTGTCCATGTTGGAGAGGCTAATGGCACGGCCAGCATACCTGAGAGATGAAAATGCCTTTGGTGCCTGCGGTGCATACAACCCGCTATTGGTGAGTCCCAGGCTCTCTGTTATGTTTTCATACAAAACGCTTGTAGAGCTCGATAGGGACAGACAGTGTCCCTTTGAGCTAGGAGCTCAGATGCCTGTACTTCCCCAACTTCCCAGGTCAGGTAGAACCAAGAAGTGAACTGTTATTCCTCATACTGTGCCATGCCTGTGGTCGTGGCTCTGTAGGAGGCCACGGAAGCTCTTGCTTTCTACTGTCCCCACTGAGATACAGGTTCATAGTGCTTTGCTTAAAGGCTGGGGCCATGTGACCTGCACAAAGCCTGCGGCACACAAGGAGTGTACCGAGATAACTGTTCTCCAAGAGACTCAGTCAGATGACTCAGGAGAGAAGCAAAAGAAAGTTTTTCCTGACATTCACTTTTCTGTTGAAAATGGACCTTGGAGTCCACAGTCATCTGAAGAGCTTGCCTTGGAGGCGTTTTCAGGCTAGGGGAGAGAACCAGCAGAAGAGGAGTTGTTCCCCATGAAATAGATGTGGAAGTGGCCTCAGGTTCCATACGGAACTCCCTTCCCTTCAACAGTAACTATGTGGGGGCTGACTCTTGTGACCTGACCTGTTCTTTTCTTGCAGGTCACAAAGCTGGTGAAGAACTACAGGTCCCACTCAGCCCTGCTGGCACTACCTTCCCGCCTGTTCTATCACAGGGAGCTTGAAGTCTGTGCAGACCCCAAAGTAGTGACCTCTCTGTTGGGCTGGGAGAAGCTGCCTAAGAAAGGGTTTCCTCTCATATTCCATGGGGTGAGGGTAAGTCTGCCTTGACCTTGATGAAGCACCTGCCATGTCCTGTGAGAATAGGGTGGGAGGGTATTATTCCAGCTGAGCAGCTTCACCCCCCCAAAGTGATCACGCTTTGTTATGCCTGGTGTTGCTATGTGTCCCCTGTATGTGTTGCTGAACTACATCAGTATACCAGTAACCATCCCAGGTCTGCAAGGGGGCAGACAGGGGCTGGTCACCAGGAGTGAAAGAAAGTAAGAAGGGGCTGCTGCTGTTTGTTCCCCTCAACACAGAAGAGCCTCAGGAGTAGACTCTGCCGGGCAGTGTCCTTTGACAAGTGCTCAGATGACTGTTGGGTTCTACAAAGAGATGCACGCTGACTGAGATCCTTGAGTGATGGAATGTCAGAGAGCAATGAGAGGTTGGGAAGAAGTCAGGCTGGACCATTGGGAGCCAACCAACCACATAGTACCTGGCCCACCCCACACGACCAAGAGAACCTGTAGGAAATGAGGTGTCCCCAGCCACAGACCTGAGCCCAGCTCCACAGGACAGAGCAACAAGGCCTCAGAGATAGAGGAGACTAGATGCTTAGTAGCTTTTTTAAAGTAAGCTTTCATTAAAATAAATAGCTTATATTAGGAACTTGGTTGACAAAACAAAAAATCAGGTTTTTACCTCACCTCCCAAAAGAATGGTGTTCAGATTTTTCAGAATTAGAGCTGCACCCAGACAAGGAAAAGCTGGAGTCAAGGAGCCCCTTCTCACAACAATCTGGCCTTGCTGGGCAGGGGCCTGGGTGACAGCTTCACCCAGCATGCTCCAGGCCTCACGTCCTCTCTCTGTCTTTTGTGGAGAAAAGGAGTGGAGTGGCGTTGTATGCCCACCCTCTGAATGGGCCCCGTGTTCTTAGGCTAGGTCCCTCACTAGTGGCCAGCGCTCACTTGGCTCCTGTGCTCTGCCCTGTCTCCGTCCACTTCCAGGGTGCTGTCTGGATCACCTCACGCTTTTTTAGAAGCCTCCTGTGTATCAGAGAAAACAAGTCAGAAGTTTGTTTGTTTGTTTTTGCTGGTCATGGGGCCTGAACTCTGGGCCTGGGAGCTATCCCTCAGCTCTTCAGCTCAAGGCTAGCGCTCTACCACTTGAGCCACAGCACCACTTCTGGCTTTTTCTGTTTAAGTGGTACTGAGGAATCGAACCCAGGGCCTCATGCATGCGAGGCGAGCTCTCTACCACTGAGCCACCTTCCCAGCCCTGACAAGTCAGAAGTTGTAAAGGGAGGGGTTCCTGTACAATGTCTAGAAATGAACTTCATGAGTCATAGCCAAGGTTGGCTTCATTTTTAACATTTTATTATTAAGGAGTTGTAGAGTGAGGTTACAATTCTGTGAGTTAGGTACAGTTCTTTGTGGACAGTGTCTTTCCTTCCTTCACTTTCTTCCAGTTTTCCCCTCCTGTCTCTGCCCACAAGTTTCATTTTTATATTGACTCATTTTTTTATATGCCCTCCATTTCTGTGCTCCTTCCATACCTCTAAAAAGAGAACAAAAACACTAATAATAACAACAAAAAATACATGTTTGCATTTCTTGAAATTTGTTCTTATAAAATAGTATTTTATGTGTTCAGAGGAGTTATACCTTTGGGTTCCTCCCATGGCTGTGTGTGAATACCTAGAGCTCCATGTAAGTTTTCATGTCCAGTTACATTTTAGATCTTGCTCCCTCATATGAGAGAACCATGCACCGTTTGTCTCTCTTGAGTTTGGCTTACCTCACTTAATGTGATTTGTTCAAGGTCCATCTCTTTCCCTGCAAATGACATAATATTCTTTCTAATGGATGAGTAAAATTCCATTGTGTATAGGTACCACATTTTATTGATCCACTTACCTATTATGGGGCATGTGGGCTGTTTCCATAGTTTGGCTATTATGAATAGGGCAGCAATAAACATAGATGTGCAAGTGTCTTTATCATATCCTGACTTGTAATGATCTGTGTAATGCCCAAGATTGGTATGGCTGGGTCATAAGGAAATTCTATGTTTAATTTTTTGAGGAACCTCCAAACTGCCATCTGTACTAGTTTACATTCCCACCAACAGTGCAATAGTGTTTCTTCTTCCCCAAATCCCTGCCAGCATTTGTTGTTGTTTGAATTCTTGGTGTTGGCTGATCTAACGGGTGTGAGATGAAATCTCAGTGATGTTTTGATTTGCATTTCCCTTATTGCCAGGGATATTGGGCGTTTCCTCATGTGTTTGTCATTTTTCTTCTGAGAAGTCTCTCTTTAGCTCCTTTGCCCATTTATTGATTAATTTATTAGTTTTGGAGGGGGGTAATTTCTGGAGCTCCTTGTATATTTGTAGTCATCTGATATTTGACAAGGGAGCCAAAAATATACATTGGAAACCAGGTGCCCATGGTTCATGCCTGTAATCCTCAGGAAGCTGAGAACTGAAGAGCATGGTTCATCAAAGCCAGCCTGGGTAGAAAAATCTGTGAGACTCTTATCTAAATAATCAACCACCCCTAAAAACCAGAAAGTGGAGCTATGGCTTGAAGTGCTGAGTGGTAGCCTTGAGCTAAAAATAGTTCAGGGACAGCACTCAGGCCTTGAGTTCATATTCCAGTGAAGGCACAAAAACAAAAAAATAGTGTAAAGTATAAAAAACACACGTAGGTGGTAGAACAGAACTCAAACATACAAATGTTTCAAAGACTGAATTTGGAGCCTTGCGCTTGCTCTGGACCATTATCCTAGCTCTACCTCCTGAGTGTCTGGGATTACAGGTGTGGGCCACCATACAAAGTAATGTTGATGTTTTAATGTAGGGTGGTAAGATGGAGAGCAGCCCTCAGTGATCAGGACACAGAACAGATAAAGATTTTTTTTCACTCACTGGCCTGGGGAGAGTACCAGGCACACCTGGAGGCCAAGAGAGATCGTGCAGCTGAGGGTAGAGGACCATAGGCCAGTGCCTATGTTGGGTCCAGAATGTTATCTGGGTTTTCCATAGGCAGTCTTAACTGGGGGGAGGGGGCGCCTAGGTCAAGCAGATAGTTCCCTGGAGGTCACCCATGATGAAGGTCACAGAGACTGTTCACCATCCATGTGAGTATGAGCATACACCAGGTCTGTCCTGGTGCTTGAGTTCAGGGGTTGAGGCCCTGAGCTTTTTTGATCGAGGCTAGTGCTCTACCACTTTAGCCACAGCTCCAAGGATTTCACTGAAAAAAGAACCTGCTGTTGGAATGAGGAGTGTGAGCAACTTAGTGCTGAACGGCTGGCTTGTGGCCAGGGCTCTAGATGCTGGCTCCAGACAAGCGGGCTTCCTGTCGGGCCGTGCTGTCTGTCCCTGAGCACCTCTCTGGCCTTTGGCCACAGAGACCTTCCATTTTGTCAAGCAGGCTGTGAGCCGGCCTTCCCTGTGTCCAGCATGGGCTGCTCTTTACCGTAAAGATGATTGCGGACCTTCCACATCTGCCACCAGTCCCCCAGTGACAGATTGATCCAACTAGTCCTTCACCTTTCTGGCATTTCATATATTCTCATTTCCTAATTATTTAGTTATAACGACCTGCTAGATTTAAGTTCTGTGTGACAATAGGGATTTTCCCCCTATTTATTATGTATTTCCTGTTCCTTGAGCGTGGGCCCTGGGTAAGCATTTTTGGACAAATGAAGTTTTCGCTTCTTATGAACTCAGGGCAACGAGGCTCGTGAGGGGAGGAGTCCATCGTGGTTCAGCCCAGCCGAGGCCGTCCAGGTCATGCGCTACTGCTGCCTCCTGGTTCGAAGTGTCTCCAGCCAAGTTTCTACCAGGGACATCGGTGTCATCACGCCCTACCGGAAGCAGGTGTGCTCCTAAGACTCGGCTTTGCTCTTTGTGATCTCTGTGGCTCTTGCTCCCTGGTTGTTGTGGGCTCTGTGAAGGGCAGTTGGTCGTAGGCTCATTTTGATTTTGTTTGTTTTTTGTTGTTGTCGGCTGTGGAGCTTGAACTCTGGGCCTGGGCGCTGTCCCTGAGCTCTTCAGCTCAAGGCGAGTGCTCTACCACTTGAGCCACAGCGCCACTTACGGTTTTCTAGTGTATAGGCTCATTTTCAACAGCAGGTTTTCACAGAAGAGCCCTATGCTTTAGATAAGAGTTCAACCAACTGGAGTGAAGGGCTGCTTCAAGCCAGCCCTTCTGCCTTCTATAGCCAGAGTAGAGTCCGCTTTCAATTGATAAGTAGTTACATTGTAAGTATTTACATAGGGACCTTGATATTTGGCCCTTTATTTAAAAAAAAAAAAGCCAGCACTTGTGGCTTAAGCCTGTGATTCTAGCTACTCAGGAGGCTGAGATCTGAGGATCGCGGTTCAAAGCCAGCCTGGACAAGGAAAGTCCATGGAACTCTTATCTCCAGTTAACCCCAGAAAACTGGAAGTGGCTCTGTGACTCAAGTGGTAGAGCACTCATCTTGAGCTGAAGAGCTGAGGGACAGTCCCCAGGCCCAGAGTTCAAGCCCCATGACTAACCAGAAATAAAAAAGGATGTCAGCCCTAGCTATCAACCAGTATTTCTCAAAGGGTGCTATTGGCATTCTTGAAGGGTGCATTCTTAGTCCATGTGACCTTTCTATATAATTACAGGAAAGTAGCATTCCTGGCTTAATAAGGTTCCCAAATTGTGACAGTCACAAACTTCCCTAGACCCGAGCTGGGATTGGTAGCAACCTCCATGACAGGCATGTTGAGTTTCAGCTGTTCAGCACTTGTCCCTGTGGTATACCATCCACCAACATGGGGAAGATACTCCAGGACACAGGACAAAGAGGAGGTATGGTGTTCACAGAGGTAATGGTGAGATGCTGCAAGTCACCCAGAGCTGGCACTTCAGAGACAGTGTTTTCTTCCTGGAGACAGGTCCCTGTGAGGGGAAGGTGAGTTCTCAGTGCTTCTGGTGCCAGAGGGGAGACTACAAGGGCTCAGAGATGGGGACATCCTGTCAGAGAAGCCTCAGCTAGTCGGCGTTTGTGCCATCTCTCTTTGCTAGGTTTGGGACCATGGCCATGGCCTTGGGGATATGTGTCACCTTCTAGTATGAGCAGCAGTGTTACCAACTTGGATATCCCGCATGTCCAGCTAGATTGTCTGAGGCCAGACATTTGTGTGCTTCTGACTACTACTCAATTTTTTCATATTTTCCCTTTTCTAGCTATCTTCTCACTTGATTCTCTCTTCTCTCTCCTCTCTTTCTCTCCCTTCTCCTTCTCTCCCCTATCTCCCATCTCTCTCCTTTCTCCTCTCCTCTCTCTTCTCTCCCCCCCGCCTCTCTCTCTGTTTCTGTCTCTGTCTCTCTTTAAGCCCTACTGGTAGGAAATGAGTAAAGAAATTGGTCCTTGGCCTGTGCTCTTTCACATTACAGGCTCTTCCTTCAGTGTTTTTTGAGTCAGTTATACTAGCCAACATTTCTCCCAGTCTTTGTTGACTTCATTTTTAAAAGGTGGCTCTGTGGCTGCAGGACTTGGGGCCTCTGCTCAGTGTCTTCATGAACAAGTGAGAACCCCTCTGCAGACTAGGTTACTATCTTCCATCAGACCTGCTATTGCTCTCAGCATTTGTCTTTGGATTTCAGCTGTTTTCTGTACCATAGCTCTCTTGGAATTTATCTTGCTTGGGGAATATGAAGCTTCTTACATCTGCATATTGTTTTTCATTAGATATACGCAATTTGGACCAGTATTTCTTCACATTTTTTTTTCTGCCCTTCTTTGCTCTCCTCTGAGACTTTTTCCACACTGGCTTTGTTTGATGTTGTTTCAAGAGTCTTTGTATCTGTTCACTTTCTCCAGTCTTTGGTTCTTTAGCTTTGATATTTGTTGCTAGTCTGAAGTTTACACTTTTATTTGTCCTGGCATCTGGAATATGCTGTCAGCTCATATGTGTGTGTGTGTGTGTGTGTGTGTGTGTGTGTGCGTGTGCACGTGTGTGTGCATGAACTCACAAGAACACTCGGGTGTGTGTACATGTATGTACACTGGCCCTAGGGCTTGAACTCAGGGCCTAGATGCTGTCCCTTGGCTTTTGCTTAAGGCTACCATTGGAAGTAGAGTCATAGCTCAACTTCTAGCTTTTTTGATGGTTAATTAAGAGATAAGAAGCTCTCAGACTTTCCTGCCTGGACTGGCTTTGACCTTTTATACCCAGATCTCAGCCTCCTGAGTAACTAAGATTACAGGTGTGAGCCACTGGCACCCAGCTTTGGTTACCATTTCTATCCTTACTTGAACAAATTTGTTGTGATAGTTGCCATAAGGTTTTCAATAAAACATCCTCTGTTTCTCTGGACATACTGGTAATGCACCCCTGATGTCTTTGCTACGTCTAGTACTTGGAATTCAGCACTCACAGCTCCTTTGATGCTTGTCTTCTCCAGTATGGCCCACATTTTTCATTTTCCTTGTATGTATCATTTAAGTTTTTGTTGAAAACTAGGAATTTTATGATATAGCAGTTTGGGATTTTTATTCTCCCTTGAAGATAATCACCTATTCTTGCTTGACATCACTGCCTGAGCTTAGTCTGTGACATTTATCTCTCTGTTGTGTGGCAGCTTTTATGTTCTTACTGAGTGTTATTTTTATTATTTCTAAGCTTGGTTTCCAGGAGGGGTGATGGCCCTCTTTATGACTGACCAGCAGTGGGCAGTGGCCAGTACTCTGCAGGTGCTGTCACTCACAGCTTCTAGGCTGTGTTAAGTTTTCCTTCATGCCTGCTTCACACCTAGCCTTTTCTGTCTTCCCAGTCATGGACACAGCCTCTCCTCCTAACTACTCAGGTAGTAGGCTTCTCAGCCCTTGGCACCTGCCTCCCTCTGAGGGCTGGTCCATGGCTCTGGACCACCTGCACCCAGACCCAAGCATCACAGATTCTTGTTCTCACCCAAAGTTGAGAAGTTCAATTGTCAACACTTCTTCAATGTGTGTCTTTATTTCCAGAGTGCAGAAAAGTCTTCGTCGGGTTTTTCTAGCTGTACAGCTGCCCTGGAAGCTGCCTGGCAGGGCGGCGTGGGGAGTGACCTTTTTTACCTGTCTTTTTACTCATTGAAACTCACTGCCTTGCCCAGATCTTGTTTTGACCTGAAACCCTTCAGGGGCAAACAGCTTGTGCCATGTGGGTCTGGCCCAGGGTCTGTCCATTCAACTGACCCTGCTTGGGGCCGGCCAGGACTCTGCAGTGCCACCTTTGTCATTCCATGCTTGGCCAGAAACTAGCACATGGGGTCCTCTGCTCTCCTTACACAGTGAGTCACTTGTGTGGTGAGAGCATCCAGCAGCCTCAGCAGAGATGGCCAGAGGTACAGGCAGACACGCAGGCAGTCCCACTGATAAAGAACTGCTACAGTAGAACCTTCCCCAGCCTCCAGCCTCAGGTCCAGTGCAGCTCTTGAGTTGTTCTCCTTCCCTCCCTTCTCTGATCCCCACAGCTCTGTTCCTGCTCCTCGTCTGATTACACCTGATCAAGTGCTCTGTCACATAACTTTCAGAACAGCCCATGGCAATGGTGTGGTCAGATGCGGAGGTCCCATTGGTCCTCACTGTCTGCTGTCACATTCGGATGCTCTGCCATTGCAGCCTAGGGCAAGTGACTCTCTGGCGTGGTTTGCAGGTCAGCATTACTTATGAGAACCTCAGCCTCTGCTGGGGCTCAGGTGTGCAGCAAGGACATGCTCTCCTAGCAGGTTTATTCTTATCTCTTGTGCCCTTTATTCTCATCACTCAGACCCTTTCTCAGGCTAGTAGGCATAGACAGGGACATGCACGGGATATGAGAGGCTTTTTTTTTTTTGATTGGTCGTGGGGTTTGAACTCTGGGCCTGGGCACTGTCCCTCAGCTCTTCAGCTCAAGGCTAGCACTCTACCACTTGAACTACAGTGCCACTTCCGGTTTTCTGAGTGATTTATTGGAGATAAGAGTCTCCTGGACTTTGCTTGCCCAGACTGGCTTTGAACTGTGATCCTCAGATCTTAGCCTCCTGAGTAGCTTGGATTATAGGCGTGAGCCACCAGCACCCAATTACACAAGAGGCTTTTTAAATTGGAGTTGCTGGGTGACTGTGATGTGAGGTGTTCCTGACCAGATCCCTGCAGCTGGGTGCCCTCACTCCCATACATGGTTGTTGGGTATTTCCCTTGAGATCTCAGTCATGGGAGAGGTTTTCACTTGTTTATGTCTATTCATATTTTGTGTGTGTCTGCCAGGCTTGAACTCAAAGCCTGGGTGCTGTCCCCAGAGAATGCTCAAAGCTAGCATTCTCCCACTTGAGCCTCAACTACACTCCTGGCCTGCCCACCCGCCCTCCTGCCTGCCTTCTTTCATGATTTGTTGGAAATAGTCTCATGGACTTTTCAGGCTGGCTTCAAACCATGATCCTCAAACCTCAGTCTCCTGAATAGCTTAAGTTGATCTTGAGTATGTGTTTTTCTCAGCAGTTTCTCATCTTCTAAGATATATTCTCAGTCTCAGGTTCTTGGTGTTGTGTTGGGGATATCATCTCAACTGTAACCTTTGTCATTTGTCAGAAAAATACTTTTTGATTTATGATGGACTTATATCCCAATAAACCTATTGGATTTTTTTGAGTTTTTGTTTTGTTTGTTGGTACTGGGGATAGTACCCAAGACGTGCTAGGTGAGCTGTCTACCACTTGAGCCTTGAGCCATGCCCCCAGGGTTTTGTTTTGTTTTGTAAACACTACGGTTTAGCAACACAGTGCGATTGATGTTTGGTATCCACAGAGGACTGGCTCCAAAATTCACGGATATTAAAATCTATAGATCTTCCTGATCCTTAAAATGGTATATTTGTACATAATCTCTGCACATCTTTCTCTATGCTTTAAATCTCTAGGTTTCTTGTATACTTAACATAATGCCGGTGCTGTATAAATTGTTAATACATATTAGTTAGGGAATCTTGACGATAATGTTTGAATGCTGTTCAAACACAGCCACTGTGTGCCTGGGTGCATCTTCACCCATGGCTTGTTCAGTCCGTGCATGTGGAGCCCACAGGCAGAGCAGACTGCCCACATGGCCACAGAGCTGCTGAGCTGCTGAGGCCAGCAGCCACTCCGTAGGGTAAGGGGTCTCGTGTGTCTCATGTGTGTACGAGTCTTGTACTTTGTTGTGTTATTGCCTGAGAGATTGTCTAGATCCAAAGTGCGTTATCCAACCAGACTGTTCACATTCTTACCACAGCACTCCACGCAGTTACTCAATTGGACATCATTTCAGGAACTGTTGTAAATCATTTCCTTTATGGCTGTGGTCTAGTTTGTTTTGTTTCGTGTTTGTTTTTTGTTTTCTGTTTAGTTTGTGGTGCTAGTTCTGGGGCTTGAAGTCAGGGCCTAGCCACTCTCCCTGAGGTTTTTTTGTTTTGTTTTGTTTTGCTCAAGGATAGCACTCTACCACATGAACCATAACTCCACTTATGGCTTTTTGGGTGCTGAATTGTAGATAGGAGTCTTACAGACTTTTCTTCCTAGGCTGACCTTAACACCTCGATCCTCAGATCTCAGCTCCTAAGTAGCTAAGATGACAGGTGTGAGCCACCAGTCTCAGTGGTCTCTGTTTTTAATCTAAGAAATTTTTTCTGAACTTGAGATCACAAAGCACACATTGAAAATCTGTCTTTTTTCTTTTAAAAGGTTCTTACTTTGCTGCCCAAGCTAGCCTGAAACTCTGGGGCTCAAGTGATCCTCTTGCCTCAGCCTCTGAATGCTGGAACTACAGATATATGCTACTATACCTTGTGGATCTTTGATCCATTGGCATTTATTTTTTAATATGGGATGAGATGGGAACTGAATTTTATCTTTTTCCTGAGCAATCAGTTGCCTGCCCCATCAGCATTTGGTGAGCAGCTCACCCTTTCTCCTGGTTGTCCACTGAGCCCCGGGAGGTGCTCTCCTTCTGTGAAGTAGGCCTCGTGGCTCTTTTCTGTCAGGTCCACACAGGACTAGGTGCTGAGCTTTGTGACATATTAACATATGTGTAGAGGTTTTCAACCCTTGTCATGGTGATTCTTAGCTGTTGAGTTCCTTCTTTTTTTGAAATTTTATTTTATTGTAAAGATAGGGTTACAGGTACATGAGTAAGGTACTGAGTACATTTTTTGTCAAGCTTGAGTTCCTTATTAATTGAATTTTAGGAATTCCACCTTTTTCTCAAAAATACATATTTTCTTCTTTGGTAACATTTTAAGAATTCAATCTTTTTTTCTAAAAAAATATGCAATATCCTCTGGCAATGTTTATTAGACTATCTTAACTGCATTTGATGGGGAGGTTGTTTTGTCTTCTATTTTTACTGACTTTTGCCTATGTGAGGGGATTTAATTCTGAGATTTCATTTGTTAGTATTTATTTCAGCTATAATCTATGAGTGAGAGATTATCTTAGAACTTGTATAAAAATACTTTTATTGGGCTGGGAAGGTGGCTCAGCGGTAGAGCGCTTGCCTTGCATGCTCAAGGCCCTGGGTTCGATTTCTCAGCACCACATAAGCAAACAGAAAAAAGCCGGAAGTGGCGCTGTGGCTCAAGTGGTAGAGCACTAGCCTTGAGCTGAAGAGCTGAGGGACAGCGCCCAGGCCCAGAGTTCAGGCCCCACGACCAGACCCCAAAAAAAAAAAAATACTTTTATTCTGCTGCTTCACTCTTGAATTCCATTCAGGTGTTTTCCCAGTGCTTAAAATCGTTGCCTCTTACCCAGTGTGGTGGTGCATACCTGTAATCCTAGGACTTGGGAGGCTGAGGTTGAAGGATCATGAGTTCAAGGCCATCTCAGGCTACCTAGCATGACCCTGCCCCAGAAAGACAAGACAGAATGGCATGGTGGCACACACTGTAATCCTAGCTACTCAGGAGGTGGAGATGGAGAGGATAGCGGTTCAAAGCCAGCCTGGGCAAAAAGTCTGCAAAGAACCCCATCTCAGCCAAAATAGGGTATTGCCCCTTAGTCCTCTAGCTTGTGTTTGGTAAGAAACCCACTCTGCCTAATTTTGTTTATGTTTAAGTAATAGCTTTTTATATTTTCCTTTGATTCTTGATGTATAGTTTCACTACAGAATGTTCACAGGTGAATTTCTTCCTCTCTTGTGTTCTCAACTGGGTCTGGATAGTGATCCAGTTCCCCCTGCTTGGCCCCTCTCTGGATACCCCTCCTGTCTGCTTTGGAGCTGCTGACAGGTGTGTGTGGCTTCTCTGCCTGCCCTGCAGCATTGCCCCGCCCCTGCCCCCACATCTGTCTCCTCCTTCTGGGTAACTTCCACCAGGGTTTTTGATCCACAGGTTGTGAGAGTTAAGTTTTACTGAAGAGTTACCTAATCTGCCCAAGGCTCCAAATTGGTCTGACTATACCAACATGACCTGTTCCTGCCTATGTGCTTAAGTCTGGAATCACAACTCGTTTGGTCTCCACAGACTTAAACACAGTTGGACTGTATCCCTTTGCAGCAGCCCAGCTGTTTTGGATTCCTCAAGAGCAGTTCCCCTTCATGGTGTCAGCTGATGGCTTTTCACTGGGCTGAGTCCTGGTTGTACTCTGGCACTCAGTCCCCTTACTCCTAAGATGCCCAGCCCTGCTTCGGGAGCCAGGGTGCGTTGAAGCCCACAGCCCTGACCACAGCAGCCTGTTAGAGGCCCAGGATGCCACAGATTCAGGTGCCATTCCACAGAGATCCACATCCTGTGTGCAGCAGCGGGAGCATACCTCGGTGCCTGATTGCCTGCTTCATGTGCTTCTGATAAGTGCCCAGCCCTCTCCTCTCCTTTGCCTCAAATCAGAATTTGAGTTTTGTCTAGCTGTGAAAAATTTTGCTGCAGAATTGAAAAATAATTGGTTTAGTGTTTGGTTTATACCATGGTGGGTAAAAAAACATGATTCATACAGTTTTATCTTAAACCTGTCTTTAAAGGTGGAGAAAATCAAAATTCTTCTGCGAAGTGTTGATTTGATGGACATAAAGGTTGGATCCGTTGAGGAGTTTCAAGGGCAAGAATACTTAGTCATCGTCATTTCCACTGTATGTACCCATTTGTGTGGGGTGGGCACATTGACAAACAAAATCCACACACAAGATAGACACTTTTGTAGCCCAAGTGACTGTGGAAAGTTCTCAGTAGTCAGGAGACAAAGGGAAAAGGATCCGGAAAAAAGGCAAATGTGTGTGTGGTAGGGGAGAGGAGACAGAATTAGCAGCTGAAGGGCAGAGACTGCAGCAGATGTCAGAAAGAAACCCAAGTCACAGTGGCCTCTACCTAACACCACCCAATGGGGTTTAACTCTCAAAACTCCAGTTTTTATTTTTATTTATTTAGTCAGTCATGGGGCTTGAACTCTGGGCCTGGGTATTGTCCCTCAGCTCTTCAGCTCAAGGCTGGTACTCTACCACTTGAGCCATAGCACCATTTCCAGTTTTCTGGTGGTTTGTTGGAGATGAGTTTCACAGACTTTCCTGCCCGGGGCTGGCTTTGAACCGTAGTCCTCAGATCTCAGCCTCCTGAGTAGCTAGTATTACAGGCGTGAGCCACCTGCACCTGGATCTAGGGGGGGTTTGTTGTTTGTTGTTTTTGTTTTTGCCTGATCATGGGGCCTGAACTCTGGTCCTGGGCGCTGTCCCTCAGCTCTTCACCTCAAGGCTAGTGCTCTACCACTTGAGCCACAGTGCCATTTCTGGCCTTTTCTGATTATGTGGTGCATAAGGGCCTCATGCATGCAAGGCAAGCACTCTACCACTGAGCCACCTTCCCAGCCCCCAGTTGTTATTTTAAATTGACTTCATTGCTGGACACCAGTGGTTCACACCTGCAATCCAAGCTACTGAAGAGGCTGAGATCTAAGGATCACGGCTTGCATTTGAGTGTCTCCTTGTCCCCAGACAGTGACTCTGTCTCTGCCAGCCTTTTGGGCCAAAAACAAGTCGTGTGGCTACGTAACCTTTTTAAATGTTAAATACTTGTTTCATACATCAAATTACTTTCATTTTTTTTAAAAAGTCCTTAAAATACATACTTTTTAGGCTGAGCAATGGTGGCTCACACCTGTAATCCTAGTTGCCCAGGAGGCTGAGATCTAAGGATTGCCATTTAAAGCCAGCCTGGGTAGGAAAGTCTGAGAGAATCTTATCTCTAGTAAACCACCAGAAGACAGCAGCGGCATTGTAGCTCAAAGTAGTAGAGCGCTAGCCTTGAGTAAAATTGCTCAGGGATAGCGCCCATGCCCTGAGTTCAAGCCCCACAACTGACAAAAAAAAAAATTACATGTATGTGTGTATAATTTTTTTTACTCATGTTTGTGTTTTAGGTACGATCAAATGAAGACAGATTTGAAGATGATCGATACTTTTTGGGTTTCTTATCTAACTCAAAAAGATTTAATGTTGCAATCACTAGACCAAAAGCCTTGCTGATTGTCTTGGGAAACCCTCACGTGCTTGTCAGGGTGAGTTTGCAGGATGCCAAGCTTTGTTCTGCTTGAGGGAGGAAGGGAATGAGGGAAGGCCCAGGTCACCCAGAAATGACCCGAGCCAAGGTGCTCAGCGCACTGGTAGACATAAGGCCTTCACTACTTCTGTTTTCCCCAGGACCCTTGTTTTGGTGCTTTGCTGGAGTATAGTGTTACAAATGGCGTTTACACAGGGTGTGATCTTCCTCCTGAACTACAGGCTCTGCATAAGTAAGCAATCCGCTCTCTGCTTTTAGGACTTGCCTCCCAACCACGTTCCCCTTCCCCTGCCCGATTCTCCTCAGGACTGCAGCCTCTGAGCCCAGACGTGCTTCTTCCTTGGTTGCCTGGACTCTGGGCTGCAGTGACACTCTTTGTGGGCATGGGGTTCACTTACAGAGGTGAGGTGCCTCTTGTAAAAAGCCCCATTGGGAAGAGAGTATAGTCTTCAGATGCCACATGTTCACTTCTTCCCCTGCAGCTGTGGCTAGAGACCTCCTACCCGGCAGTGCCAGGACCTTCAGGACAGAGGAGAGCTGGGCCCACTTGACACACAGGGCCAGTGACGGGGAGAACCACACACTTCACCTGTGGACCCTGTTCCTGGCTCTTGAATTTCTGTGACTCCTGTGACCCGTACACTGAAGCCTTGGGCATGGGTGTGGGAAGGGCCACTGGGTGGCTGAGCCGACCCTACCGCCTTGGCTGGCCTTGGCTCAAGCTCGTGTTCCTGCTGCTAGGCAGTCATTGTCACTGCCATCCCCAATAAAAACCCAAGCAACCCCAGTCCCCCTTCCACTCTAAAACATGCCTGTTAGTGATGTAGGTCTCACGCGCCTTCCTCTCTGAGGGCTGCAGTCTTTGGAGTTGGCTCCACCACCTTCATCTGCTCCATCCTGAGCCAGATGTGAACCGGGAAGCAGGAAAGGCTGCTCATTCCAGTCATCTGAGAACCATAGGCTCCGGCTGGCTGTGCACTGCCCACAGGGCCTGAGGCTCAGCCTCCAGCCCCATCCACCCACCCCTAGGTCCTGGTGCTTGCTTATGCACGAGCACAGCTGAGCAACGCCTGTCCTGAAGTGCCCTCCCACCCCTCTAGCCCACAGGTAGCTCTCTCAGTGCCACAGATGGCGAGCTCTGAACTGCCACGTGTAGGTGACATGGGCTTCTTAACAGCTCACATGGGCTTGCTGACCCGAACCCCAGAGGTGTGCATGGTAAGAAGTGAAATGCCATTGACTCCCAACACCCAGGTAGCGCGAGAGAGGGTAGCACAGAGCCTCTGGCCTTCTGTGGCCACCTCCCTCTGGCAAGTTCAGAGCATGGGAAGCAGTATGGAGCCGGCCTCTTGTGAGCAGGTGGGGTATGTGTCACCCTGTCAGTCCTGCAGGGCTCCTCCCTACATGGGACAACACGGCCCCCCACAGCATTCCTCTCCCACACAGGACAGGATGGCCCCACAGTGCTCCCTCCACCCCACAGTGCTCCTCCCTGCACAGAACAGGATGGCCCCGTAGTGCTCCCCTCACCCCACAGTGCTCCTCCCCCACACAGAACAGGATGGCCCTGCAGTGCTCCCCCCACCCCACAGTGCTCCTCCCTGCACAGAACAGGATGGCCCTGCAGTGCTCCCCTCACCCCACAGTGCTCCTCCCTGCACAGAACAGGATGGCCCCGCAGTGTTCCCCCCACCCCACAGTGCTCCTCCCTGCACAGAACAGGATGGCCCCGCAGTGCTCCCCCCACCCCACAGTGCTCCTCCCTGCACAGAACAGGATGGCCCCGCAGTGCTCCCCTCACCCCACAGTGCTCCTCCCTGCACAGAACAGGATGGCCCTGCAGTGCTCCCCCCACCCCACAGTGCTCCTCCCTGCACAGAACAGGATGGCCCCGTAGTGCTCCCCTCACCCCACAGTGTTCCTCCCCCACACAGAACAGGATGGCCCTGTAGTGCTCCTCTCACCCCACAGTGCTCCTCCCACACACAGAACAGGATGGCCCTGCAGTGCTCCCCCCACCCCACAGTGCTCCTCCCTGCACAGAACAGGATGGCCCTGCAATGCTCCCCACCCTGCAGTACTCCTGCACAGGACAGTACAGCCCCGTAGTGCTCCTCCCACCCTGCAGTGCTCCTCCCTGCACAGCCCTATAGTGTTCCCCCAACCCCAAGTGTTCTTACCTGCACAGGACAGTACAGCCCCATAGTGCTCCCCCGCACCCCTCCCCAGGGCTAATAAAGCCCCATGACTAGGCCCTGGATATCCTCTCGGGAACTAGCCCTGTCCAGGTAAGCAGCCCGACCTCCCCTGGGGACCAGAATGAGCAAAGCACTGTGTCCAGCTGGAAGATGAGCTGGGAGGTGGGGGCACTTCCTCCACATGGAACTAAGAGGAGCCACAGATACCTTCAGTGCAGGAGCCCACTCAACTCGAGAAGCCCATCTTCCTCCCACTCTGGGCCTCCCAACCCCAGCATGCGGTGCACCTGTCTTGGGGGCTATGCACATGCTGCCTCTAAAGCCCAGCTTGCCTGCCCTTGTTGAGGATCTTGGCCTTATTGTGGTCTGGCTATCTGCCTCTACCTCCTTCCGTGCCACCCAGTGTCAGCATCAGCTTGCAGGTTGTGGCTGCCCAGGGAAGTCCCAGATCTTGGCTGGTGTGTAAGAGAATGAGACCAGGGGGGTGCCAGGCCCCAGGAGAACCTGGGGTAGAACCTAATGGGTAAGGTTGAGAAGCCGATCATCATGGTGACAGGACCAGACTCTTGTCGGCTCAGCCAAGGCCAGAGCTTCAGCTCTTCCATACACAGCTCCCTCACACAAGAGGGGCACCTCCTGCCATCTCCCAGATGCTTGTTACCCCAGAAATGTCCACACACTGCCCAGGGTTCCCCTGGATATCCTAGCATCATAAACAAAGGAGGAAGATATGGAACCCATATCTCAGAGAACCCAGGGCAAGAGCAATGGGTCCTGCAACAGAGGCAGCATGGACTAGCATCCAGGGTGTGTAGACAGCCTAGCCACAAGGCTCCCAAGGGTGGAGGGGAGTCAGGTGGGGTCGCTGCAGAGGACTTGGCGCATCGAGAGAAGAATGGAGAAGGCAGGAGCCCTGGTGCCTTGGGTAAGAGATGGGAAGGCCTCTGGAGGTGTGAAGAGCCATGCCACGTGGCTCCCACAATTTCATGAGCAGTTCCTTCCACACCGGCAGGCTGTAGACCTGTTCTTGGGGAACCCTGGGAGGACGCCTGAGAACCAGTGTTTTTAAAGCTGTTCATGGCATGTTCTTCCTTACTCACGTTCCTTCACCACTCCCCATAAACAACCCTAGTGCAAAACACTGAAAATGCAAGACAGGAAGAAAACAAAATCCAGGCCTGGGAAGGTGGCTCAGTGGTAGAGTGCTTGACTTGCATGCATGAGGCCCTGGGTTCGATTCCTCAGTACCACATACACAGAAAAAGCCGAAAGTGGTAGAGCACTAGCCTTGAGCACAGAGAGGCTCAGGGACAGTGCCCCGGCCCAGAGTTCAAGCCCCAGGACCAGCAAAAAGAAAATACAGAGTCCTAGGTATGTAACAGGTTTTAGTCCCACTGCCCCACGCTCACATGTGGGGACAGGGGAAAGCTCCCTCCAGGCGGTGAGGCACAGGAGGGCATGGAGGGAGGGATGCAGAAGAGCACCTCTCCATTCTCCATCCCTGCAGGAAAGCTGCCGTGGTGCTGGGACAAAGGCCCTAGACACCCTGGAGTGAAGGCTAAATGGGGCAGTGTGTGGCCTGGCCTGCCAGGATCTAACATGACTCACTCAGAGATATGATGTGCGCGCGCACACGTGCACACACACACAGCATTGTTTTGCTTGCAAAATGTGATACCAAGCATTTTGTTTGGATTCTCATAAATGGGGTGAAATTGAACTGGAAACAAGCATGCAGCGAGCAGTCTGTGCTTAGGACCAAAGTGAGTGTGTGTGTGTGTAGATGACTTCTCTGCCTGGTCTGGCTTTGAGCCTTGATCTTTAATTCTCAGCTTCCTGAATAGCTAGGATTACAGGCGTGGGCCACCGGTTCATGGAAATGAGCTGAGACCACCTATGCACCTTAAGAGGTGTACATGGAAGTTATGCTCTGTGCCTCTCCCTCAGCCAGCTGGGGTCTTGCTAGGTCAATGCCATATGTTAACGCATCCCCGAGAAACAAGAGCTGCTCCCCCAACACAGTTCCTTCCCAAGACAGGGCTTGGGTAGGGCATCCTTCAGGTGAAAACGGTCCACAGTCCCTTCTGCATTGCTCCCATGCTCCTGGGCTATCCTGCCATGGGCTTCTGTGGGGTGTTAGTCCCTGTGCGGGGTGCCAGGGAAGACTCCTGTTCACCTCTGCCCACCTAGATTAGCTTCTCTTGGGTCGCTTGCTGCCACTCTGTAATAAGGCAAGATAACTACCTGCCCCGTGACTCTCAGAAGATGAAGGGTTCCATCAGCATTTGCTCAGCGCAGCTATGCTGCAGGGGTTGCTCCAGCACAGGCACCGTGGAGAACAAATGCACTACCTTGCAACCTGGAGAGCACTCAGTAATTCCTCCCGTGCCAGGAGAGCCAATGATACACATAACAAAGATGCCATTGCCAAGAAAAAATGCAGTGTAATGCACAAGGCCTTTTCATCACTTTATTCCCTTCAAAATACACAGTGGGTGCAATAAATGGACAGATGCACTATGTTCGTGGACAGACAGTTCAGTTTTCCTCATGTTTAAACAACTAAGGCAATTTCAGTGTTTCAGCTGCACTTGTTTCCAGAATCTTGAGCAAGTCTTTCTGAAATAAGTAGGAAAAGGGTCACGAGTACTTAGGTCAATATTGAAAAAGCAGCCGGGGCCCTGGTGCGTCCACGCGCTAGGCTGCACTGTCAAGCCATGTTTACACAAATGGCCCAAGGACCAGACCCTCGCGCATCTTCCAAGCTAAGAAGTACCGCGGCACATGAAAGAGGCCCCCGTGGGGCCTGAGTTCCCGGCCATCTTCCTCTACAATCACCGAGACCTCCAGATTGCAAGCTGCTTGGTGGACTGGCTTCACACCTGTGACCTGGCGTCCGGGCGGGGCACGGCGGTGGAGGCCCGGGCCAAGGACGGCGCCCAGCCCTGGAGGTCAAGCCAAGAAAACAGCCCAGTACAATGGATGCACCGAGTACTTCTAAGCCTTTCTGGAAAGTGGTGTTCCCTCCAAGGGTCTCCATCCGGG